GCTTGATTAATAAACTTCCCGGCATGGTTCCGCTACGTAGACGATACTTTTACTCTGTTTGAAGGTAATAGAGATGATTTAAATAAAGTTCTTTCAACAATGAATTCTATTGATCCTGCTATTCAGTTCACTTTTGAACTTGAGACTTGCAATTCTCTTCCGTTTCTCGACATTCTGGTCACACGTAACACATCCAACTTCAGTACTACGGTTTACCGTAAACCTTCATCGGTTTGCCTTCCACCACACTTTAAATCATGTCATCCGACTAAACAAAAGTTAGCTTCATTTTATTCCTATGTTTTCCGTGCTCTTCAAGTTTGCTCCTCCAAACTAGCCCTTGATGAAGAACTAAATTATTTAAAAGCAATAGCTATTGACAGGGGCTTTTCACCCAACATTATTAATCAAGCAGTTAAAAAATTCTCATCTCAAACACACTAAAAGGCACACTCTTATATTTGGAGATTATAAAAATTCTGTTGTCATTCCCTTCTTTCCATCAATTAGCTATAAAGTTGCACATATTTTGCAGAAATTTAACTTTCGGGTTGTTTATTCTCCCATCAATAAAATTCCAACTTCTATACTCAAGGACCCCATTCCGGATATGAATTCCTGGGGGTATTTATAGGATTCCTTGCCAGTGTGGTTTAATTTACATTTAAATTGGCCAAACTAAGAGAGCCTTAAAATTTCGCGTCAAGGAACATGAGGCATATGTTAGAAAAAAGGAAACACAGAAGTCTTCTGTTGCTCAACATTGTTGGTCCGAAAATCACACTTTCAATTTTTCTGCTGCCAAAATTATTCAAAAAACATCTTCCATTGGAGAACTGGATTTTCTAGAGGCATTTCACATTCATAAAAATCTTTCTGTTCTAGTTAACGATCCTAATTCCAACCCAAATTTGCCTTCGGCCTTTTAGAGAAATTATGTTTTAGTTCTGGTTTCACCAACAGATGGCGCCACTTGCTTATTCTTGTCCAGGCTTTCTTATCTTATCTAATCATTATTTCCTATCTTGTTCATTTGCGGTTTTGCAGCTGAAGATGGTGGTTCGGTAAAACCATCAAAACTAGTCCTGTGAAAATTTTGTAAATATAACGCTGATTTTTGTTGTTTGACTTCTGAATTAGTATTTATTTGGCATGTTATTGTGTCTTAATATATGATTATCTTTTGAATGGGTGAATGGGTTAGAATTTGTTCCTATTTCTAATATAAAATGGTTGGATACTCGAGTTTCTAAGCAAGAAGTGAAACATAAGCATTTCGAAATATATTTTTTCTATTGGAGAGCTCTTAAACAACTTTCTGCTTTTGGGGATGTGAATTCTTTTATTAAACTGTTCTAAATTTGGCGACTTACCAACATTTTGGCGAATTTCTATAAAAAAGTTTTAATTCAGAGATCTGGGAATTTTTCAACGATTTTTTTAAAACATTGTAACATTGATAAATTTCATTAAAATAATGATAATATTTTGAAATTATATTTAAAAAATAACATTAAAATCAAACACTTTTATTTTTCTGTTATATTAGTTTCATTTTGGCAACTTATACAAGCTTTGAATCTGAAAAATAAAGAAGGTATAATACTATACAATTAACAAAACAATTCTTAGCAAAAGCAAAATTAGCTATGTAATTAATTAAAACTGTCTTCTTTTTATTTTTTTCATAGTAAGAGTTTTTCCCATGTAATTGTCTCGTATTCAGAATTTTCAAAATATGCATCAGTTTTCTCTATAAAGTTAATTTTACATTTTTTCCTTCCCCCCTTTTTTTTTCAAAATATTTTGGGCTTTTTGCTGTTACAGAATTCGTTGGAGTAATTTTTCTTCAGGAATTTTAGACATTTCATCTTGGAAAGTTTATAAGGATTTGAAGGCGAGATTTATAAACCCACGATTCCAGTAGATTCCAGAAAAATGTGACAAAATGAAAAACGCCTCCATGGTATTATAATGGATGCATTTTAACTGAAATTTGCAATGAATTTCTTACTTTTTGAAAACATCTAACACTGAAAACATAATATTTGAATGTTTTACTGCTGATACTAGAATCTTTATCTTAACATGTTTATCTTGCCTTTATTTTCTCTACTTTTCACTAGACACAAGCATGGAACACATTAAAAATGCTTCTAATCTTATCACGTGGACAAGCATTATAGAAAGGAATTTTTTTTATTAATAAAGAAATTGAAAACTTGCAATTTAGAAGATTCATCTAATATGTCTTAATTCATCATACACAGAAGTAGGCGCTAGGCATTTTCAACCTGATGCAATCTATGTGGATCCTAAATTCTGCTGCTTAGTGCCTTTCTAAATTTTGAATGCAATGCCTGCTCTAAATTCTAAAAGTTTTGCAATTTCTAGATTTTGTTGATCGAGATTTCTAAATTTTTAACCTATCACTAAATTCTAAATGGTAAATCCATAATGACTAAGTTTACCTAAGTACCAAATTTAATTATTTATAACTAACTGCTTACCCTTGAAAATTATCTTTGCATATTAAAGTGAGATACTGAATTTCATTTATCCTTACTGTGGTCACAAAATAAAACACAAAAATGTAAAAATTCACGTAAAACTTATTCTTTGCATATAGCAAGACTTAAAATAATACAAAATAACTTATCACCTCTAGTTCTTTAGTGGCTTATTGGAACCTTAAAATATATTAACTGGGTTACGACCCCTGGAACTCTACACGAAGCAACGGCATTAACTGTGTCAGACAGAGCCCAACTAACTTTCAAAACTTTTCAACAGTGCTTACATCAGGCCTTTCAGGTTTGTTCTAATCAGCAGGTCTCTTTCTAGGCAAGTAGCCTAGATCTTATCAGCCTAGATCCTTATCATCTTACTTCTCATTTTAACCTATGCTGCTTGACATAAAATCTACCTGCTATTTACTAAACCTCTAGACTGAGCAAGTATGTGGCAAAATGAGAAATAAAAAGAAATCAACATAAAGCTGTTAGTAAAATGTAAACAAAATTGTCACTTGTCTTCTTTCAAATATGTCCAACTGTTATGAGTGAAAAATATTTAATGCTACTTAATAAATTTAATGTAGTTTATTTTATTCTCATTAATAATTAAGTTAACTAATTCATGTTTTATAATAATGCATCTTACTTATGGATCTATTTTATTTTTAGGATGGTATTACAAAAGTGGAGTTCAGGCATAGATAATAATTTTAATTGAATTTATTCAATTCCCATTTGCTTATAGGTCCTTAATGTTTTTCACTAATGGTCCTTAAAAGTACTTATTTTCCGTGTACAGAGATGTGTACGAACCTTGTCAGAGTAGCAACACTATTGAATAAATTCATCCCGTCTTCATGAGCAAAGAGACGTTAGTATAAGAATAGCCAACTAAAGACATTAGGATAATCAATTAACTACATAACAGACATTAGGATAATCATTATAAATTTTGATACTTTTTTGCTAAAGCCATGCCTCACATTTTCAGCTTCATATTGATGCATTTTGGCTCATTTCTTTCCCCGTGTTCATTTAGTACTAAACCTTCGGCTTAGTTCTCTCCATGATCAAAAGTTACGCAGATATCTTGGCTTTAAGTTTGATTTTAATTTCATGAGATGGTTATTCAAACAGCCTTTCTTCTGGAACAATGTCTCTTTTTTTTTGAAGAAACAGGACAGCTGTTTTTTGTCCTGTAGCAAATACCAAGTCATGGAATCTATTGTTGGTAAAAGGAGGAAAAAAATAGATGAAAAGTGTGATCACTGGAGTGCTAGCTATAAAGACAATTATTGTCAGGAAAGAAGCAAGACTAAACGAAACGTAGTGCTGAGGAACAAACCGAAAAGTGTGAGGTAGTATGGCTTTTTTTTTTTAAAAAAAAAAGTCTAAGTTCTAAAAATCATGTTTAAGTGGAACACTTCCGAGTAGTTTTAGATGGCTGTTCTTTTGCTAAGTGCTGGTTGTGAAATTGCTAGCTTAATAAAATGTTAAAATATATTGTCTCCATTTGCCTTTCATCTAAATTATCAGTATATATGAAGGTTATTCTGAAAATAGACTGTTTAAGATTTGGCATGTGGAGAGTAGCAGTGTTAGAAGACAAGGCCACTCTCATGACCTGTCAAATAGACAAGTAGAATGTGTAACATTTCGCTATAACTGATCTTAAAGAATGAAAGGACGATTGAAGAAGTAAAAGCCTTTCTTTCAAGCAAAAGGGCTTGTAAATAAAATATATTTCTTTTCCCCCCAGTTAGGAAAATTACATATAACAGGAGTTTAGGCTGACTTTGTACCATATACTTGAAGTTATTTAGTACAGTATAAAGTCCGTAATCCGGACGTCCATTATCCAGAATGATCTATAATTCGGACCTCAAAGCCACAAACTTGCACATGCGCATTTAATGCTAGCGTCCACTACACATGCTTGTAAAGCCAGTAAAGCGTTTACACATGCCCGGCTTCCGATAGTGAAGAAAGTGAGAGAGTAAAGTAAACAAATAAATATTAAGCTTTTTTTCATAAATTTTGATACCATTTAGATCATAATTGCTCTTTATTTCATAAATTATGGTTTCATATTTTTAATTGTATAATTTCTGCATGCCATCATGCCAGATTTAAATTGATGATCTATAATCCTGAAAAACCCCTAATCTGGAATTGCCGAAGTACCGACGAGTCCAGATTATGGACTTTGTACTGTATTGTGTTCAGGTACAGTGGTTTGGAATTTATATGTAATTGAAAATTATGTAATTGAGAAAAGTATAAATGTTTCGTTATCCTTCAGGTTGTACATCACTTTTTAGCAGTTGTTTTCAAATTTTTCATTTTTTAGAATTTGTGTTAATGTGCATTTGATTTTACTAACCTCTTTTTTAATTACCTATATTGAATTCTGTTTCAGCCGTTTGCTTGGGAAGCAAGAGAATTTCTAAGGAAAAAGCTCATTGGAAAAGAAGTTTATTTTGTTGTTGAGAAGCCTGTTAATTCAAATCGAGAGTATGGCACTATATATCTTGGAAAAGGTGCAGTATTTGAAAGCCTTTTTATATATTAATTTTGAGTATACATTATAAATAAATAATTTTGAGTATGAACATACAGCTGTAAAGACTGAGAAATAAAGAAACATAAAAAGTATATATTTTAAGGAAGTGCTTGTTGGTGGCTCATAATTTATCATTCTTAATATTTGAGGCTATTTTTAACAGGTTCCTCTTGCTTTATGTAGCTCACACATATAATGGAAAAATTATGTTTTGCTGAATTTTCTTGGGTTTGGTTCATTTTCTTCACTTGAATGATTTCATTTTATCTTTTGACCAGAATGCATAGTATGCTTAAATACGTTTTTCTTTATTTTCCATTCTTGCTTTGAGTTTAGTAATAAATTCTTTTTAATCACTTTAAAACATTGTTTATTTTGAAATTCATTTCCTTTCCCTAAATATATGCTATCAAGCTCTAATATTGTGTAGTGTAAAGAGATAAATTCTTGTCTCAACTGCTTGCTTTTTATCTCCATTTTTTGGCCAGAAAATTATGCAAACTAATGTTGCTTTATCAAACTAATGTTTTTTTGGCAAAAGTAGTTTTAGAAGTTGATCATGAATTGGGATTATAGTATTGGCAGGATTCTCATCAGTGTGCCAGTTACTTCAAAAGTGCAATAAAGAATATTTACTGCATCAGATTGTTTTGAAACTCTAGCAAATTTTGCATGAGAAATTGAACCAAAGCGAGATTTAGTATTAGATTTTCTACAAAAACAGATACTGGTTAGAGTTGACTTAAGGATACCCCTTGTATTATCGCAAAGTTGCTGTTTCATTTAATGCCAAATTGTTTCATTTATTGCCAAGTAGTTGTTTCATTTATGATAACCTGAGTAGTTGAATGTTATGGAAACCCTATTATGACGTAATTGGTTGTATTATTTTGGGAAATTTTGAATCACGGGATGTTTTGTAAGGACTTTTGTGGTGTGTATTGGTTAGGAAGTACTTTGCTTGTATTATTGTTTAGATGGTAGGATGGCTGAATGTAGTAAGATTAATTTGAAGTTTCTGAACGATTTTGAGCAAAAGAGGAAAAGAGCATTAGTTGACTGGTGTGTAAATGAAGATTTACTTAGTAGCCATTTTCTGGACAGTCTGGAACTACGGAGGATATTTTTGACTTATTTTTGTGAATTTATGTGGCGATGCCGATATATGGATTCGAGTTCAGATAATTTTAAGAAGTTTCTGGATGCTGTTAAGGAATTTTGTGTGCCCCACACTGGAGACTAAGAAATTTCTAAATAAGGTAAGTGGATATTTGCTTTGTGTAGTGCTTAAATGCATAAGAGGTTTTTTCTTTTTTATGTTATTTTATTGTTTGGTTTAAAATGTAGTTTATTGAGATTATGTATTTTTTGTTTGCCTCTACTGTAGAATTGGGTGCTCCTTTGACTTTTTAAGAGAAAATATATCGATGTGTACATGGATACCGAGTTTGTGCAACTCTTTGTCTTGTTATTTTGCCTTTGTGTAGTGGCGATTTTTGGCGCAAAAATTTTTGGTTACACAAGCCAAAATAACAGTTGAATAATTAAGCTGGGCATGGTTTTGGCGACTATTTTTAATGCCAGATTTGGCGAGAAATCAGTAAAAGTAGCCAAACTTGGCAACATTTGGGTCCAGTCCCTGTATGAGTAATTCATATTGTGATTGAACAAATGTTATTGATCCCCATATGCCTGTAACTGTATCTGGCCCTCATATGCCTTCCAGTAATTTCGAAAAGTGGAAGGTGAGAAAGTTCTTGGCAGCTGGGGGAAAACTATATAAGACTAGAGAGAACATTAGTTTCAAAACTGTAGCTAGAGTTTTCAGCACCTGGGGTCACAATTAAAAATTTAGCGCCACATTCTCTTTACAAAGAATGAAAAAAAAATCATTCTAAAAATTCACATCATCAGTTTGGTGCCCCCTGGATACTGCACCTGGGGACAGATGTCTCCCCTTGCCCGCCTTCTAGCTACGCCCCTGATCAGTTTTTCTGTTGTTAGTTCACAGTTGGCTTCGGAGTATTCAGATTATCTCCATGTGAGCTTTGCTCTTTAGATGCACTTTGCATTGCATTGTGTTTTATATTTTTAGTATTTTGAAGTGTAACTTTTGGTTTTGCATTGTGATATTGAGAACTGTATGACAATTTTTGTGTAAAGTGTTTCTTTTGGTGTGTTCAGTCCATTACAAATCCTTACACATGCAACAATCTATATTATGTACACACACATATATAAGATAAATATGTAAATCAAAATAAGATAAAAAATATGTAAATCAATTATAATTTAAATTTATCAATTATAATTTAAATTAGTAATACTCCGTATTCTCCCTCTCTGTTCTAAAAATCATAATAACTTTTCTAGGCTGCATCATTTCTAGATCGATCCATCTTGTATGGCTTGCATAATGCTGATTACGTAGCTAATTCAGAACCTAAACTCAGAATTCTGAGAACTGAAACTTTTCTCTTAATAAACAACTTTAAAGCAAAACCTTCTGTTGGCAAGCTTCCCCGATGGATGATTATGCACTTTAGTTTTAACTCTCTTGCACCCAAGACACAACTTCACTTGCTCATGAGTCGCTTAATTTCTGCTAACTACTGTCCATGGTTCTAAAAATATAATCTGTATAAAATTGTGGGATATTTAGTATTTAATAATCTTTATCAAATTGTGGGGTAGCGCACCTACTTTGATGATATACAACGTAATAGAATGTGACCTAAGAGTTAGTTATCAAGGAATAAAGTGCATGGGATTTGTGGCTATGTCTGTTTTCAAGTGTCTTTCTAACTACACAGTAAAGCATAAGTTATGTCGCAGGAATGGAAACTTTATTTTACCATTAATAATTTGCAAACCCAAATAAAATAAATTTAGAGAAATTTTTATGTATGTGATATATAATTCTGAAATAAAAATATAAAAGTGAGTAAAAGGGGGTGACCAACAAGAGTGCTGAATGCAGAAATGCGCCATAGGAATTATCAAGACAATTTGAGAGTACCAAAAAGCATCTTTTGTGAAATGTTGTGCCTCGATTTTACTGCTTCTAATTTTTATGTTAGGGCCCAAATATATTATGATCAGCCATGAATTTAGATTTATGAAGTTTATTATTTCTCTATTACTCACTATTTCTTGGAATATTATTCTTGAAAAGTATCTGCCTCCGATTTCATAATTCACTAACTGGACAGTTAATCCAATCTGCATAATAATGATAATAATAAAACACTCTTTTTATTTTTGAAGCTAAATGAGGATTAAAAAACTAATAGTTATTGGAATCATGTACAAAAACTGTAGCTTCTTAATTTGTGTAGTAATAGAAACAAAATGCTCTGGAAATAATTTGCAGTTATTAAACTTGAGAATGCTGATTGCATATTAAAACTAACATTGCTTTTTTAGTGTTTGATGATAAGCTTCGTTTTTTGGTTGTTAATGTATAACAATTGTTGAAAATTTGCTTTAAAATTGTGTACTGCAATATCTTCACTTTTAGCTATTCTTTATCTGCAGATAGTTTGGCTGAGAATGTGATTGAATCTTTGGTTTCGGAAGGTCTAGTTGATGTGCGACGTGGAGCAATAAAATCAAATGAGTATGTGTTTTTATTTCTTTTTTAAAGTGATTAAGATTAAAGTTGTGTAAACATTTTCTTATAAAATGACTGACTCTTCCCCTTTGGTGTTTAAATCAGATAAACATTCTATTAAATTGGGAATCAAAATATTGCATTTCTTCAAAATAACATTGTGCTCCAGCCTTGAAATTCTGAGAATTGAATTATATAAGCTGTAAAAATCCATAATGATAACACATCATAAAAATCCATAATGATAACACATCATTCCTATAATTTTTATCCCAACTAGAAATGAAATATTTTTTAGTAACTTCAGTATATTCTTCCTAAATCTATCTGTATATTTTTCCTAAATTAAATCTTTATATTTATTCTGTCATTATTGTAAAAGCAACTGAAATTTGATTAATAACCTAATTATTAGTAAGCAAAAAGTGCAAGAATTCAAAGTTTGGATTTATTTAAGTTTCTATGCCTTTTTTTCTCTGTTTTGTTTTCTAGTTTTGACATTTGAGAAATTTCTACAAGTTCTACATGTTTAGCCATTTCCCCACCTTTGCCACTGCTATAAACAATCTTGTTGCATGAAGTGTAAACAAACCATAAAGCGAGGATGAAGATGTGCATGGAAAATGCTTCTTTGATAATAAACTTGTTTCTTCAATCAAGACGTATTAGAAATATTGTGTATTTTTGTTAAGATCACTTGTGTAAATATATAAGAAAAAAATGCAGTTAAATTTGCTGAGTTTTTAGAAAATACACATTTTGTATGTTTGCATCAAAAAATGAGTGTGAATTATAGGTGTTAGTGGATTTAAGTGGTCATGAATTATTGCAATTCTATTGTAATTCAATTGCTTTTAGTAAATTAAAATTAATGAAGCTAATAAAATATTTTATACTTGAAGGATTATATACTGGATTTCAGCTATCATGTTTTATTCATTTTAAATGATGCTTCTTATTTCATTTAAAGATAAAGCATGATAAATGCTAGAGTTGTATAGTAAGCAAATTTCTGTTTAAATTAGCACATCATATTTATAAGTTATATAAATGTTTGTTTCTATTTCATATCGTGGTTCTTATTTAGTCTTAGTTTTAATTAATGACAAATTTTCTGCTGTATAAAATATTTTTATCAATTTTGCTTTGCACTTCATAAATCAGATTCGAAATACATACTTGGATTACAGCCTTAAGAATTTAAATATATATGGCAATAATCATGTGAAAAATTGTTCAAAATTTTTTAATAGAAATGAAACACCTAATTGATCTTTTGTATTCTGTTTGTAATTTTCATGTATTTTGTAATAACATCTTCACTAGTTTTGTTTATTTCATTTTTGCAAGTTTTTCAGGTTCTTGGTTTGTTGCATTATATGCCATATAAAATGTAATTTTTGGGTTATTTGGTACTTTCTGCAGCTCTTTTTCTAAAAGTCACTGGCCTACTAACGTCCGGAGAGTAAAATCATTGAACAGTGTTAGTTCAACCTGGGTTCAATTCCAAGTGAATGAACTGGCTGCATGGGTATTTTCATGGTTTTTCACTATATGTGATATGGGTACAAGCCAGTTTCACATAGGAAGTCCTCCACGAAGGCATCCATCCTCTTAGGCAGATAGCGCTCACATGCGTTACTGTTATCAAATAAGCAAAACCAAACCAACCTGAAAAAGTCTCCGACTAGTTAGTGACTATTAATTTAGAAGTCAGACAACAGAAGTCAGCATTACATTTGCAAATTTTCACAGGTTTAGTTTCGATGGTTTTCTTTTTCCATTCTCACCTGCCAAAGTGCAGATAAGTGCATTTGCGCATTGTTCAGTAAAACCATAAAAACTAGTCCTGTGAAAATTTGCAAATGTAATGCTGATTTTTGTTGTTTGACTTTTAAATAAATATTTATTTGGCATGTTTTTTTAAATTTTACCTTAATTAGTTGGTGACTACATTTTTTAAAGCTAATAATATGCAAAAGGGAACAAAAATGGCTGTTCACTAGAAATTCCATAAGAGAGTAATCAATCAATAAAATTAAAAAAGCCAGAGACGTCCATAATAAAACACTTATCTTTTTCAAGAAATCCTTATGCAGTGTATTTTCTTGCTATTCTTCCCATGTACACAGTGATCTGTTTTCATTAAAAAAATTAAGAGAATTGTGAAAATTTGTCATCGTACATGCGTTTGTTTTCTCCATTAGCACAGCAGTCTGTTTTTGATTAAAAAAAGATCAGGGAATTCCACAAATTTAACTTTTTGCATTCTTTGTTTTTCACATTACATTTTCATAAAATTCAAGCGTTTAAGAAGTATAACTTTGTGGAATGGGAATTTTTGCACTCTCTGTTGTTGAACAAAAAGCTTTACGTATGAAGAAATCCAGTTCTTTATCATCTGTTGGCAAAATCCACAGTCCGATTATGGCTCGTCATGGGGGGGGGGATGTACTCAATCCAAACACACAAATCGGAAAAATTACCATCAAATTTGGAGGGCTGTGGGCTCACGCAGAAATACATTTTAGCAATGTTGTGGGTTGCCACATAACAAATTTGGTGACAGTGCATTGCTTTATCTATACATTTTGATGGGGAGAAGTTGCAAATAAGAAGAAAGAAAAGGTTATTTTTATGACCTACTGATACAAATTAAAAGCAAATTATGTATTTATACATATGTATATACTAATAATTTGTAAAGAACAAGGAGAAAAACTTTAAAATTGATGAATTATTAAAAATTTATGATTTATTTAAAAAGGACTTAAAAAATAAAATCCTGCATCATTGCTGCAAAGATAAAATTTTATTAATAGAGAATATATGAATGAAAATTATCTCCTATGAAATGCAAAGTGAAATTTAGATAGTAAATGTGTACTATTATGGAAATTAAAAAATTTGAATTTGTAAGTAAACAGGAATTTTTAATTAAAATGAAAAACTAAATAAAACAAGAGAATTGTTCCTTAGAAAGATCCTGACTTATCAAGGGGAATTGGAATCTTCATACAACCTCCAGCAGTTCATGAGGAGGGCATTTTGTCATTTTGTATTTCTGAGCAAATCCCAATTGCAATTTAAAAATTTCCTATTCAGTTTTGTAAAATCCAAATTTGAATTTTAAAGAAGTTCAAAAATGTGGAATAATTCCTCGATGCCCAGATAGACAATTAATTGCTGTTAATTAAAAAATATAGTATTCATGCAGAATTATACTTAAGCTAAAAAAATAAGAATAAATAAAAAAATATATGAAAAAATGAAATAGAGATGCAAATGAAATGAAATAAGCAAATAAGAGTCAAACAGAGAATTTTACTTATTAATAGGCCAGAATTATTAAGAATTAAGAATTTTTTTTTTTTTTTTTATATCTAATCCTATCCAAAGGATTTGAAAATGGTGCTGTCACAGCAATAAGCTTTAGATGCTAAGGATTGCCATGAGTAAAGTTTGGGAGAGTCCATTTTAATGTTACAACTGCTTCTGTATTGGCATGAAATTGAAACAGGAAGGGGGTTCTTTATGTTGGGTTTGTCAAGTATTAGGTATCTCTGTTGAATAGCATTTTGTGCCAAATGCACCAAACCTAATGCATCTGTTTGGCTGTCAGACTATAAACAAAGCCCACTTTGTTTATTAAGCCCACTTTGACATATTTACAGCCCCTTAATAGAGTTCTGGTGTAACTCTTTTGTATTGAAAATACCTAAAATAGTCAAGCGAATGAGGGCATGGACATCACACTCTTATATAATATGGCATACTATTTCCTCATTCTCTTTTTGATTTTATCTAGATAGGCAGTCATACTTTCAATAGCATTTTGCCCTTCTCCAGTTGTTGAGTAACTTGAGTAGATGTCATTTCTACTTCACTGGGTAAAAGATTTATTTCTGCTCCTTCAATTGATTTCCTCTGGGTGTCTGTGTTTTGAGAAGAAAGGTCTCCTCAGAGGTTTGGCTTGCAAAATCAGAATTATTATATTGCCAAAAAGTAGTCCACCCAGTATTTCCTGTTGCTTGATAAGGCAAAGTACACTAGAAGTTGCCGGGCATTCTAGAGGCTGCATTAAGACACTATAACTGCAGTGTCATTCATCCTAGGCATGGTTCACCTAACACCAGGGTTATGGGAGGGTGTTTGTGGCTTCTTATTTATTATTCACAGCTATCCTGTCAGATAATACAAGGCATCTTGCTATCCATCACCTGCCGAAGCACCTGGTAGCCACTTGAGCCCCAGGCAAGAAGGCGGTTTCCATTGGCACGAATTTTCTTCCTGTGTGCAACTGAGCTAATTAAGAAAAAAAGCTGTATGGTAAGAATTGTGAACATTAGAAATGCAGAGTAAAATCGAAAATTTTGAAATCAATTGTGGAGAAAAATTTTTACATCTAAAAAGGGTGGAGGCCAGAATACTTGCAGAACATTTTTTATGCAGTTAATTACAAAAATATACAAAACATCAGAGCAAACAGGGCATCTTTTCTTACCCTCCTGTTTGGTTTCAGAGAAGCTTATTATTATATATTAGGTTAAGTATTAAATTTGGTATTCAATGAAAGCTTTCTAAGAAAATAATTAATAAATTCTGTGAATGTGCTGTTTTCTTTAAGTACTTGTGCAACTAAAATGATCTCATTTTTTAAGTCGAAAACTTTTGTTAAGATTTTTTTAAATCTATTGATTTGATTGAGTATTGTGTTTCTGATGACTCCTAGAGATATGGAATTTCCATTTGATAAGTTTAATTGTAAAAGAGTTAAAAGTTCTTTTAGCAAACTGTTTGATTGTTTTATAATTAACTATATGAAGATCAAAATATTCTATTTCTTGTCCAATTTTATTGGGTTTAAATCAAGAAGCATAAATTTGGAATTTTTCTATGACATCATAATTATTAAAAGTTAATTGCATCATCAGTATACATGCAGACGTATGCCTCTAGTTTTAAACTTGGTTGGTCAAGAGATTGTTGAAATTAAAATTCTTTTGTAAGCAAGCATAAGTCAGACAAATTATCAAATTAAATTATAAAGCTGATTCACAGATTTTTATCTTACACTTACACTCACACTTACACACACTCACACTCACACACACACACACGCACACTCGCACGCACGCACGCACACACACACACACACACACACACACACAATTTTTTATGTAAACTAAGAAACTGCTACAATTCTCCAAAAAATCCTTAATAGTTTTACTTTTTGAAGGGCTCATCAAAGACTGTCTGAGTTGGAAGACAATGCAAAGTCTGCAGGAAAGGGAAAGCATGGTCCTAATGCATCAGAGCACATAAGAACTGTTAGATGGTCAGTTGACAATACTGCAACTTTCAAGGATTCTTTGCATCAGAAGCCTCTAAAAGCTATTGTTGAGCATGTTAGGGATGGCAGCACACTTAGAGTTCTTTTACTTCCTGATGATGATTACTTCCCTGAATATTTCAGTATAATAGTTATGCTTTCAGGAATAAGAGTAAGTATGATCAGTGCAATATTTAATGACATTCAACTATTCCCGAATAGTTGCAGTTTTTGAGTAGAATATGAATAAATTTAGCAATTAAAAATTTTGGAATTAAATTTTAATGTGAACTTGTAGTATAAAAATCCTTGTCTGCACTATCTTCAGTTACTGCTTTTTAAAATTCTAACTATTATGTAACTTCATTTGTTTTTTTATAGTGTCCTACATTTCGTGGTGAAGAGCAGACTCCTGAACCATTTGCAGAAGAGGCAAAATTTTACACCGAGAGTCGTCTTCTTCAAAGGGATGTAGAAGTTATTTTAGAAAGTGTTTCAAATCAAAATTTTCTTGGAACCATAATTCATCCTGTAAGCAAGAATTTTAGTTTTTATGTTAATACATAAAAGTAATTTTTTTATGTCAGACAGAGATACTGCTACATAATGATGATTTGACTTTTAATGACATCTTTCGCTGTTGATAGATGTTGTTTGAATAAAAAAAGCATGTAGGTTTTTTAAAAAAAATTCTGTTATTTTCTCTGAAACATGTTTTTTCATTAGGAGAACAGAAAATTGTATGTTACATGAGTTTTACATATATACCATAAATTTATCTTAATTTTAAATTTTATTTTAAGTGTGTTTATATTAATAAAACACTTTTGTTTTAGTTTAAAAGAGATGTCTATGCATTTTTCTTTCTACTAATAGCAAGTAAATATGTGCATGTTGAACTAAAGCATTTTATTTGGTTTTGAGTCTTATATGCAATTTATGTAAATGGTTAGGATTTCTGTGAGCATTGAACATGAAATGAGGGGATGGAATTTAATTTTTGTTCATTTCTATGAAAACAGTTGGACAGACTAGTGAAATCGAAAGCTGAGTAGATTCATTGGCGACTTATTGCAAGCGAATCGCGAGTTTGAAGAATGAATTCTCTCTTCTGAGAAAAAGAGAAAATTTTAAATTCCTACTTTCAGCTTTTCATGAAAAGTGTGCAGAAGTATTTGTATGTCATTCTAGTATGGGTGCAGTACATACTAAATAAGGATGATGATGTTCAGGTTCCTGTGCATGTGTGCAATCCTATTCTAAGTTGCAATTTTTGAGCTTTGCTTGGTGTATTGGAATGTATGTAGAGCGAATTAGAGGATCATTCTACATACAAAGTCAAAATATGCTTGTAAGATGAAAACGCTAATACCGTTCTGATATAGAGTCAGCTAGAATTACTGCCCAGTACTGTCCCATTTAAAACTGTCCAGTACAGAACCATATAGATTTGAAGGGAATGATGAGAAAACTGGAAAGAAGCAAACAATGTAAAGCAAGGTGAGTTTAAACTTCAAGTTGTGGTATTTTTCCGTTTTGCCGGCGCAAATCTCGCCAAGCGGACTTTATTGGCGACAACACACAGTATGCACATAAAAAATGTTGACAAATGTTAGTTCTAAGAATAGTAAGTTCTAAGAAAGTAAAGTATGCTAGCAATTTTTGAATGAGTAAGGTTATAATGCATATTATGAACATCACTAATTGCATAGAAGCTGAAGTAAATTTTGAAAAATTTCTTTGTGTTTCTAGAAGCCTTAAATACTAATGAAATAATATATATATTATTAAAACTAAAATGCACTGTTACTGAAAAAATAAACAAATAAATAAAATAAAAAAGTTAAACGAATTAAAAAATAGTTGGTACTTTAAAAATACAGAGCAACTGTAAAGGAAGGTTCACAATATTTACACAAAATGTGCTATACTTGTATACCTGCTCACTACCATGTGAGGTAATGTATTTTTAAAATATGCCCAGATTTAGGGAGAAAGCAGGTAATATATAAAATTTTATTCTTCATTTTTAATTTCTTTATGGTCATAGCTTGATAATTTATTTTAAATCTCGTTTGTTTTAAAATGCACTACGCGCAGTTCTATTTTATGCATAATCTGTAAAATATTTTTAATTAAAAAATTTTTAATTCATATATCTTTTCATAGAAGAAGTATAAGCTTTTTCTCTTTATATATATATATATATATATATATATATATATATATACGCACACATTAGGTAAAGAAAATGGAAATATTTAATTAATTAATTCCTGTGCTTCTGCTGGAAAATGCCTGTGCTTCTGAATTTAAAAGTAATTATTATAGTAATTTTTTTAAAAAAAAAATGTTTAAGTTACTCATGTTAATTGGCAGTGAAAGTTTAGAGCTGGAAATATCCTGAAGTCTGAGCACATGTATGTACATTCACATAAAAGTGAAACGAAAAAAATATATATATGTACAGGGAGCATGCTTTAAATTTGTATTATATAATTTTCAAAATTTTTTGCAGGGAAAATTTAAATAAATAAGAGCATAAATAAAACATTATATTTAATGCATATAATAATAGAAATAAATTATAAAACACAATTATAGATCAAATTGGAACAAGAAACTAAGAAAGTTACAGACAGGGTGGAAAAAGCGTATGGGATTCGAACTCATGACCCCAAAAGTTAAACCATGTTACCGTCAGCTTTATCACTAAGCTATCATCACACAAGTACGGCATGCAATTTTGGCCTATATACATCATTAAGTAAATGAATTATTAAAACTAAATTTTTTGGTTCTATTTCAGTGTGTTATCATCTAAAAAATTCACCAGAATTTGTTCTTCAGCTTTTAGGACATTTATTACAAAAAGCATTATGTTTTAAAGTGGCGTTCTGATTGAAGTTAAACGGGTTGTTAAAAATATATTCCATGTGCTTACAAATATATGCTAGCCGAAGAGGTATATTTATAAATAGAGAAATACAAATTTAACATACTCTTTAATGCAGTGGAATATTTAAAAGGCTATCAAATTTAATTTATAATTAACGCTCTTAGTTTTTACATGTTTCAAAAGAAAAAAATAACAAATCTTTTAATGCCGTATCTGATTTGCTATAGCAGTTTGATATAGTCAGACGTTCATTTTCATTAAAGGTAAATGTGTATGCAGAATTGGGAAATAATTGTCAGGATAGATTTTGCTATTTCATGGACTTGGAATTATAATTTTTGCACCTGCTTTTCTTGAACTGGATTTCTTGAATGCCTGATTTTCTCTGCGAACTAATACTGTAGTTGCAGTTAATCTTATTTTTCTTATCTTTTTTTTAATTAAATTCAGCTGATTGCTGTCTTTTTCAGCATGCAGATTTCTTGCTATAATGTTAATTTAGAAATAAATATTTTTTAGCAAAACATTCTTTTTTTAAGCCAGCGTTCATCACTACTTCTGCCGCCATTAAATTTTTGTTGACAACACCTGATTGCTCCTTTTATACCACATGACCCCAACGCATCCGCAGACATATGGATAGAAGTTGAACGTGGTTGAACTTTATCCGTCGCCACACATTGACCGGATTGCAGATGTCAATCAAAGTGAATTCGCTTGCTGATTGGGGAAATGCATACACACTGCAATGCATACGCAGCAGTGGAAACAAGCCTTGATGCTCTGAGAATATTAGAATTGGTATCTGAAAGGCTACAAAATTTCAACTTAAATCTAGAAATTGACATAGTTGCAACAACAAGTGATGATGCTGCTGTTATATGAAAAAATTTGGAAAATTATCATCAGTAATTAATCAACTATGCAATTCACATGCCATTCACTTAGCAGTTACTGATATGTTATATAAACATAGAGAGATGGATGAAGCCGAAATAAATGTTTCAAGTGAGGAATCTGAAGATGAAGACGAATACAAATATAATGATTTTGAAGATTCTCTTTTATGTTTGTAACTGATAATATTTCATTTCTATTTTGTCTGTATCTCCAGTAAGAAACATCATTCTTCAAAATTATATCAGGAAAGAAAAAGGAAAGGAGTTAAATTTAATTCTTTACTGCAAAACAAGGTGGAATAGTGTGGATGACATGATTGGAAGATTTCTGTTAGTAAAACGTGTTCTTTTAGCATTAAATGATATTGGTGGTTCTTATATGTGGAATGAAGCTCAATATCCTAAACTTTTAGAACTTCATGAAGTCCTGAGATTGATTCATCTAACAGCTGGTCTTAGGGCGATGAAAATGTAGTTTACTAACAAATGAAGGTATATTTGAATTTGTTAAATGAATTAAAAAATTTAAACACTGAAGTAAGTTTGAAATTATTATATGCTTTTAGAAGAACAAAATCAGGAAAGAAGATGCTTAGAATTAGCAACTCTGGCTGTATTTGCAAAATCCACAGAACATTCCTAGTTCAGTTGAAAAAATCAAGTGTACTTTCTTTAACTTCAAAAACCGAAATTATTAAGTTATATGGAAAGATATTATCTAGAATACATCCAAATTCTTATGTGGAAACCGGTTCTGATGAAGACCAAATTGAAGAAACTACCAACCAGAGTAATGCTTTTTTAAAAGAAGCCATGGAAAAAGCAGTTCATAAGTTTCTTGAAGACCCTAAAGAAAAACTTACAAATCCAATGACACTGAAAGATAAATTTGCGTTATTTGAGGCAACGAATAAAAGAACAATAAACTTAGATATCTTATTTGATGCCCTGAAAACTATAAAACCAAGCTCAATAGCTAGTAAAAGAGTATTTTTAATTTCAAGCGATATTGTGTCCAAAATAAGAACAAGACTTAGCCACCGTTCCATGGATATTTTATGCTTTTAAAAACCCTATTTTCTTAGGAGAAATTAAAATAGGTGAATATTATATAAATATTATTTGAAATTTTTATTAGAGTTTTTGTTATGTTGTGTAAGTAATAGGTATATGTAATCCTTAATTTTTTTATATATTTTGACTCTGATTTATTTTTTTTTTGTTATTTTATATAAATTAAATAAAATACTTATACTATTTTTTTTTGGGGGGGGGGGACAAAAATTAGAAAGCCTGATAAAACTGGAGTTTTGGAAATAATGAATCCAAAACCATGTTTTCAGAAAAGTCTGTTTTTGTATAAACCCTGTTTGTTATACTGAAAGTTTCTAAGTGTAATAATTAAGTAGCATTTTAAATTTTATTTGGCACTGAATTTACTTGAAGAAACATTTCAACTTTTAAAGTTGACATGTTTATACATTTACTGGAATAAAATTTGTCATTTTTATGAATGGCGTATCTTGCATAAAAATATTGTTATAATTTTATACATTGCTGCATTAATATTTCTGTTTCCTTTAACAGAATGGCAATATTACAGAGTTACTTTTAAGTGATGGATTTGCTAGATGTGTTGACTGGAGTCTACAGTGTGTGACATCTGGTTTAGAAAAGCTGAGAGCTGCTGAAAAGTAATTCTAATATATATTTTTTAAAGGAATAAAATAATGCAAAATTTTTGTTCTTCATGTTTTAATCTAAACTGGTGGCCTTCTAATCCGTTTGCAATTCTCGTAACACAGATTTTAAGTGTCTAGCGTTTTAAAAGTTGGCCAGTTTCAACTAAGTGATGCATGCATCTTAGAATCTAGCTTAGGTTTTTATTTTATGAACTTACAGTAACATTTTTTAAATGAGGTGATTTGGGCAGTGGTCGGATTCTTTAAATTTCCTCATAAAATTTAAAATATTTACATTACAGATAAATTTATTCAGTACATTAAAATTGCATCCGTAATTTTCAAGGCAGTTATAGTAGTCTTGACTAAGATTTAAGAGTTAGGTGAACCTCTGGCTTAGATTAATCTATTGCAGAGTTTCTTAAACTGTGGGTCGCACCTTCAGCAGGGGGTCACCAAAAATTTTAGCAGTTTTGATATTTCTTTAACTTACTATAATAATAATAATTGTACAGTTACCAAATATTTTTAGACAATGTATCTGAAAATGGATAAAGTTAAGACAATACAGATGAAGGGGGGAAAAGTTTCAATGTATTCTTTTTATAATATAAACATTCATTTTCCTTGCTTTGCACATTATGCTATCATTTTGCCTGTTACTTATTTAAAATTTTCACATTGTTTTATGTCTTAAAATTAAAGTTAATGACCTAAAACTGCAATAGTATATTACAGTTACAACTGAAGAAATTGATAGTTTCACTCGCACGTGTCGGATTTGCACAATACTTATGGGGTCACACAAATTTTTCTAAATATTATGGGTTCCTGGGGGTCACGAAAAAAATCTCAGTGATAAAAAGGGGTCGCGACTGAAAAAAAGTTTAAGAAACTAGAATTCATGTAGGAGTGATATTTTAATTTAGTTACATTTTCCCCATTCATTTTTGTAAAAACTGAAGTCTAAGAATTTTAGCAAATTTTTAAAAATAAGTAATGTGCGGGTATAAATGTTCTCTTATTAAGCAAATGGAAATTAAAAAAAATCTGATGTGTACACCACATGACTTCCTTGTATTAGAATATTAAATTATACGCATTTTTTTCTTGCATTTCATTTAAACTTATTGGAATTGAATTAAATCTACTTCGCCGACAGCGCATAAACCACAATAGAATAAATGCATTCTTTAAAATTCACTTAGTATTTGTTACCATAGCGACACTCTGGCGCTAGATTCACTTAACAGTATTAATAATTTATAAATTTAACTTATATAATAATTTTTTAACGGAAACTAAGTTAACTTTGTATTTTGTTCATATTATAACTCATAATGCACAAAATTTATATCATTTAAAGAATAGAATTATCTAATCGTTGCCACATGTTCTATTCAAATACTATAATAAAGCTAGAATAATGTATAAAAAAAAATTAAGCAAACAAAACAAAAAAGAAACAGTTTTTCACAGACGATTGAGTATTTCTCATTAATTAATTCAGTTCTCTCACTTCGCGAGAAGGCAAAAATACATAAAAACTCAAAATATCTATATTAAAAATTACGAAGTAAATCTTAAACGCTTATTTCCTCGAAAAAATTCCAGAAAGGATTAAGCATGATTTAAAATAATAAATGAAGGCGTTATCTTTGTTGTTGCGAAGCTAAGTTTCTCTCTAGATTGGCAACAAATCCACTAGTCTCCTGTTTCAAATGTAAACAAGAGCAATGGCCGCCATTAAAAAAGGCTTAGCGGCACTTAAACAACTTTTAAAATTGTTGATAATTCTAAAAATATTGCACACACAGATTTACTAAAGGCATAAAATCCTTAACCGGAAGATAAAAACAACATAATTCAATCATTTTTAAAGCAAAAAATGTACAATTTACAAACATATAGGAGTAAAGAAACTGAGATCACTGAGCCCGGGTAACAGAGTGGATATATATATAAATATATTTATATACGTTTGGTGTTGGCCGATTGCAACCATAATAGGAAGTGCACATCTACATGTTATAGCAGTCCTATATACAAAGTTTCAACGTTCTGAGGCTACTCGTTTTTGAGATATGCGAGATACGTACATACGTTTGTACAGACGCCACGAAAAATTCTCTTCAGAATTCATTTTAAAGCAGCTTTATAATTTTTTTGGAGCAAATGTGTTTTTTATTCTGTCCTTACGTACAGATATCACGCAAAAACATCGTTAAATTGCGTTCGATAGCGGTCAAAATGGATATTTTCGTTGAAATATGCTGCGTGAAACTTTTCGTGATTACAATACTTCCTTTTTACTTCGTACAAGGAAATAAAAATCAGATATTTTTGATTGACTCTCTAGTATTTACTTCTTCTTACTTTTCTGGGCTTGCCAAAAATTGGTGTAATCCTTGTAAACAAAATTGGGTTTTAACCTTACAGTATTGCCTGTTTGACCCTTAATTTTCGCATCTTTGGTAATGTGTATATCAAATAATAATAATAAGGTAATGGTTATTTCCTGAATATTTTTTTAAATTTTTGGTAGCGATTTTAATGAATCAGTTTCATTCTAATTAAAGGATATTTGGAATTCAAGTAATATGAATAATATCAGATACTATAGCAGAATTAGAAATGATGCTAGTGGATAATACATGAAGATATTGAGTAATACAAGTTTTCACCCATTTGAGAGGTAATACCATAACTAAATTTAGACAGATATTTGCTTCCTTTAAAGCTCTTTGCTTTCTTTAAAATCTCTTAAAGTTGACTTATCTAATCCCAAATCAAGTTTTTAGGGAAAGGAAAAATTTCTCTATTCCAATGGAGAAACATATAGTTTCTCTTCTAATGAGGTGAATTCATTTTAGGTAATAAATTAGTCATTTGTTCTGATATATACTATCGACATTGTGAAATTCTTGCCTGTAATTTTAGTTGTTGAATTAGTGCAAAGTTGTTAATGTTTATAACTAAAAAGAAGCAGCTTAAAATGAGGCAAAAAAGCAGTCTTAATTTTCCTGATATTTTGAATAAAACTTGATTGATTTCAAGAGCAGTCTGAATGCAACCCCCTGTTTGTTGGAAGTGATTATTATTATTATTATTATTATTTTAAGAAATGGTAAGAGTAATGACTTATTTTACATCGAAAGCAATGAGTTGAGCAAAGCAAAAAATGAACATAGTGCCATCTATGAAGAAAAGTAGCATCTAAATTCACCTATGAATTAATGAAAGCAATTTTACATCGAAAGCAATGAGTTGAGCAAAGCAAAAAATGAACATAGTGCCATCTATGAAGAAAAGTAGCATCTAAATTCACCTATGATATTAGAATTAATGAAAGCATTCGAAAGAACTGGATTAGAATTAATATCATTAATGTAAAAAGATAAATTTTTGTGAATATGAAAATCTTCAAGGAAATCCATTTCACAAAGAAAAGCTTGTTGATAAATTTCGCAAAATGAAAGTTAAAATTGTGATTGAGTGTCCAGTTTTGACTAGTTATTTTAACACTCGTCTAGTCTGGCCAATATACACTGGTCATCAAAATTGAAGGGTAATGAGAAAAAGTTTATCCACAAGAGGTGACTTAATTTTCTCGTTATTTTCCAGTTCCCATAAATTTAGTTTTAATTTCAATACTTTGTGAGTAATCAACTGCCAGACATTATAATTTATGTTAACTGATGTTTTTGTATAAATTTCTGTCAATAGTTTTTCATTAAGTATCAGTTATGCTTTATTTCTGTCATTATCCTTTAAATTTGATGACCAGTGTTTTTTCAAACCACACTGACAAGGTTTGCAAAATTTCCCCCTAGAACTGTGGTTCTCGGTTGTTTTTGCAGAGCTGCCAACTCCTGATTTCTGACCATAATTCTGCCAACCCGATTTGCAACATATTTCTCCTAACTTTTGTCTTATTTTTAACAATTTCTCATAATTTTTATGTAGCTTGGCTTAATTCTTCGTTATTTGCACCCAAAAATGATTTTTGCATCTGAAAGTACTTGTGTTTTACTCCAGATACATATAAAAGAAAATTGAAGTCATTTTATCAGTGAGATATGGCATGTTTCTGCTTTGTGTGTGAGAGTTCGAAACACGTGTCCAAAAATGCCATGTTCCCGTTTTCCAATCAGAATCGAGTACCACTGCTGGTCCTCTACCATATATATTAGGCAGTGAGCATGAAGCAAGACCAAGGCTGTCTTTTCGTTTGTCTTGCCATTGAACAATGTAAGTTTCACTTGCTTGCCAGAAACAGTTTAAGAAACTGCGATCTGTTTCCTTAGTTTGTCTGCAGAAAATATGAAAAACTCACTTTTCAAAAATCATACACAGATGACTTTCTATTATTTCGATGAGGAAATGTAATATTGCAATGTGTACCATTTGTTGATGCAATTTTTCGATTTCTCACAGTGGAAGGGCCGATGTTCCAAAACGTGGTTACACAAAGGACAGCACAAGTTGTATTGAAAAAAAGTAATTTTTCTGTGCAAACAAAGGCTCAAAAAGTAATTAATGCAGAATGCCTCTTCTCTGCCTTTTTACTGGAGCACACCCTGCCACTGAATGCATAGGATCATGCTGCAGCTTTTTTAGAAAAATATTTCCTGGCTGTAAAATTGCTAACAAAAATTCTCAAGTGCGAAGAACAGATAAAACAGATGCAGTTGTAGAAATGGGTTCAAGAAATTGGTATGAAAAATAGATCTTCAGTTATTGATTGCATTAAACGACATTAAAACAGTACCATTCTGTCTCTTTGCGGATGGGAGCAATAATACCCATGCAAAACTGTATCCAGTTAATTGTTTCTCTCTTTTTTTTTAATCCACAGTCTTCAGAAACTGAGTGTAGTTTAATTTCTGTCTCCACTTTAGGAGATTCGACAGGTTTTAATGTATAGGCTAATTACCGTATTTGACGGCATATAAGATGCACTTTTTTCCCTAAATTTGGTCTCAAAAAAGTTACCTGAGTCTTATATGTGAAGGACACACGTTAACTTTCAATACTGAATGCTATTTTTAGCCCAGATAAAGGTCTAGATGCACATAACTTTTCTACATCTGCCATAATTATTTTGCGCATTATGATTTTGCCAAAAAGAGCCAAAGCTCGAAACTGATGTCGAAGTTGAAACAGGTTCGACGGTCACATTACGTCTATGGAGCCCTTCCTTCTTTACATAGACTTTCTTTGACTCAGCCGACACACGTGTCAGTATCGGTGCTACTCTGTATAAACGTGTCAGTATCGGTGCTGAAAACTATTTGTTAAAAAAAAAAATACCCTGGAAGATATGACTACAGGAAACAAGAGATTAAGCTATACAATTCAGTATAAACTAGGAGTGTTAAACTACGCCAAAGTGCATGGAAACAGAGCAGTAGCCCGGCATTTCGGTCCACCACCTACCGAAAAATGATACGTACTTGGCGACTGCAGGAAGATCAACGGAAGACTACTAAAAAGCAAAAACATAACCTTCGATGCCCAGCTCAATGTTGGCCTTAACTTGAAAATGCCGTAAAAATGTGGGTGATAGATAAGAGGAAGTCTGGGATAAGTGTTTCAACTAAAATGATAATCAATGAGGCCAAAGAATTTGCAGAAAAACATGGGAATCAGAACTTTTCAGGGTCTGAGGGCTGGTGCTACAGGTTCATGAAAAGGCAAGGCTTATCAATGCGCACAAAAACAACTATTGCACAGAAAATGCCAGCAGATTATGAAGAAAAAATACTAGCATTTCATAGGTTTGTAATAAATGCACGCAAGAAAGTTTTTTTTTTAGCTTTGTTATCTTTTGTATTTATAATATTTAGTAATATTTTAAACCATAATAATTAATTTTGTCCTTTTGCAAAAAAATTCGTGGAAGAATGATTTTTGTTGACGTAAGTAGACAGGTATAGTTCTGGAAAGTTAAACTTCCTGATTTTGATTACTTTGTAATTCTTGAAAAGCCAGCTTTTCTGTGACATTTCTCTGGAAATTTTATAAAATTGCACATGTGTTGATGTGTAAATTAGTTCACTAAAATAATGTTTCATTTTTTAGGTCAGCAAAAGAAAAGCGGTTGAGGATATGGAAGGATTATGTTCCAAGTGGGCCTGTAATAGACGCAAAAGAAAAAGAGTTTCAAGGGAAGGTTGTGGAAGTAATAAATGCAGATGCCATGGTAGTAAAACTAGCTGATGGGTCCACTAAAAAAATATTCCTTGCTAGTATACGTCCACCAAGGTATGTTTCCTGTATTTTATTTGTATGAAATAAATTCTTATGCAGTTGAAAGTATAGTGCAGTTCAAGCAATGGGGAACCAAGCACTGGATACCGAAAATTGTCGGTCATTTTAATTACATGTGAAATAATAAACAGTAGAACTCATTTATGCATATGCTTGTTCTGTAATATTAAACTAAAATTTTCTTGTGTCTGCCCTGGTTATTATTTATGTAACGGTAAAGTTTGTTAGATAAACAGCAATTGGTTTAGTTTATAGTTTGTCATATCAGATAGTGAAGGCAAAATATATTTATCTCTGTAACGAAATGTTACATAAAATGCTGTAAATTTACTAAAACATTATACGAAAAAAAATTCCTCTTCATTTTGAGATAAGAATAAGCAGGTCAAGTAAAATAGAAAACTTTAAAGTTCCATAGGAGTTCTAATCAATAACATGTTCAATAAAGGAAGGGGGGGAAACTGAAAACAGATAAAAGAAAAAGTTTTAAATTCTCATTGGAGATCATAAATTTAGTCCAAGAAATAAAGGATCACTGGTGACTGAAAATCTCCAATTTTAAAGCAGTGAACATGTTATTTCTGAATTGCTCATTCAAGCGAAGTAAACAGCAGTAACTTAAAATCACTTAGTGGTAAACAGCAATTCAGTCTGCATCAAGTGACCCTAAATTAACTAATGGTTCCTTAAACCTTCTGTTTATATCATAGCCAAAGTGATGAGCAGTGAAAGAGGAACTTCTCTGTCACTTGCCAATTTGTGTAATCTATTTTGACCTTATTTGGCAGCTTTACTTCAATTTAAAAAAACATACTGTAGAATATTTTTATATAATTTAGTATAATAATTATATTATTAAATATTAATATTTTGATCATTATAACCGAGTTGTCAATCACAGCAAGCAATGTATTTTTCATGTTTTCATATACAAGTGGGCAGGACTTGTCAGTTCTGGAAGAATATCCAAATGATAGCATTAATTGTGATTACAGTAAATTGCATCTGTTGTATGTATCTTCTTTCATCTGTCCAGACACCCTCTTTTGATTCTTGTCCGGTTGCTTGGCTAACTGCCAGCTTTAGTGTGTAATACTAGCTCATTGCAAGATACTTCTAAAAACCTCTGGGGAGTAAAGCAATTGATTATCTTGGTCAGATAACAGAAGTTCTTTATGTCTGGCTTGTTTGTATTCAAAGCTATTAGATTGTTTTTGTATTTTTGCACAATATCACTTATTATATTATTCACTAATTTTGCACAACATTCACTTAAACTTTATTTCTGGCACACGGCTGCTTGCAAAAGATCATGCATAATATTGTTGAAAATGTTAATCTTATTCTTCAAAGGAAACAATGTTTTGATTGCTTAATATTTAAGAACTTGGAAACGAATTTATGATGTAGGTACTGACCAGTTTTGCATCATGCCTCACATACAAAATAACTAGTTAGTTCCACTAAAAGAAGCATCCTTCTTGAGATCACCTCCATTTCCCACCTTTTACTTTTTGTTATTTAAATGGACAAGACTTATGAACTTCAATTCCAGGAAATGACATTTACTATGACCTTTGAGAAGCAAGGCCATTCAATTCTCCCATGATGTCATCATGAAAAGTGTGCCTCTAGGCCTGCTGACTAGAAGTCTGCATTGAAAATTTTGAATTAGTAGAACTGCTTGTTTTAAGAAACATTGAATAATCTACTTTCCACCTTCAGTGCACTTCATGACTACATAATATCCTATAATATAACTCTTAAAACGTTCTAATGAGTTTCATTTCTGATTTTTTCCCCCCTATTTACTATAACTGAAGTCAAGGGTTCCTTATAAATAAAAGTGTAAATCTACATTTCTGATGTGTTCCATTTGGGAACAACTTATTTTCTGTATCCAGAATGCATGCAGTTCATTAGATGTAGAATCGATTATATTTAGGTATTTGTGAGTTGCTGCTAAGAGTTATCAAGCAGATTTTACAGTTACCATTATATACACATATAAATGCCAAAATAAACAATGAATGAGATAAATAAGCTAAGCATCCTAAAAGCTGTAGTCATATTTAATAGTACGTAACACACAGCAGAAAAACTTTTCAACTCAATATAATAAAGCTTAAGAGATTAGAACAATGAAAAATATCTCAAGAAATATAAAACAAGGTGTTGCATAATTCATAACAGCTTGTCAGTGTTGGTACATGAGCAATGTGATAAGATAGCCATTTTTCTGAAGTACTCCATAAACTGCATTAAAGCTAAAACTTAAATTTAAAATAATACCTATAATATTTGATAAAATTTACCTAATTGTTCATGAATGTATTCCAACTTCTGCATGATTAAAAAACACAAATCATACAAATGCAAATTTGATTCAAACTGTAGTGTAAACTAAGTTGTGGAATGCAGAGTTTCCAACTCTTCTGATTTAGGCAGGAGACTCTCGATTTCCTACTCTACTCCTGCCAACCTAGTTCACAGCATATTTTCCCCAAACTTTCTCTTGTTCTTAAAATCTCTCGCAACTTTGTCTAACTTTGCGTAATACTTCGTTAGTTGCACCCATAAAAGTGATTTTTGACATCTGAAAGTACATGGTTTTTCTCTTCTTATATAAAAGAAAACTAAAGTTGTTTCAGCAGTGAGACATTATGGCACACTTTTGCTTTGTGTGAGAGCACATGTATCTGAAAACATCATGTTCCAGTTCTCCATTGAGCATCAAATGCTGCTGCGGGCCATCTGGCATATATTAGCCAATGACCACAAAGCAAAATTAAGGTTGTTTTTCTGTTAGTTCCACTGCTGAGCGCTGTGAGTTTCACATGCTTTCAAGCATAATATTGTTGAAAAGAAGTTGTCAAGAAGTATCTTAAGAAATTGCAGTCTTTTGGCAAAAAAGTAAAATATTCATGTACCTTTCAAAATTTGAACACAGATGACTTTTGTTATTTCATCTAGGAAATACATATGCGATGTTGAATGGTGGAAGAGCTGATGTTCTTAAACATGAGCATACACAAAAATGCAAGGACAATGCCAGTTGTATTAAAAACATTAAATTCTTCTGTGGAAACAAAGGACTAAAAAGTTATTCATGCAGAATGCCTGTTCTGTGCCTTTTTACTGAAGCACAACTTGCTGCAGCTTTGCTTTGAAAAATGTTTCCCGATAGTGAAATTGCTAAGAATGCAAGGATAAAAATGGCTGCAGTTTTTAAGAAATGAGAATGAAAAATCTTCAGTTATTGATTGCATTAAAATAGCTCCATTCTGCCTCTCTATGGATGGAAGCAATAATACCGATGCAAATCTGTATATCTAATTGTTATTTCTTTATTTATTCCAGAGTCTCCATAAATTGAGTTTAGTTTATTTCCTGACCAGGAGGAGGTTTGACAGGCTTTTATATAGCAGACCTAATTATTAAATTATTATCTTTAAAAGAAAATACAATTTCTCGGGATAATTGCTTGGCTCTGGGTGCTGACGATGCACTATTAATGGTAGTCTTGGAGACTGGTGTTGCAGGCATCACACGCACACACACAAAAAGATTACAAATTATATGGTGCACATGTTTAATCTTAAATTTAACAGTTGAAAAAGGGCCAATTTCTTTGCCAATAAGTGTGGATAAACACATTGTCAATATTTATTATTATCTTGAAAAGTGTTCTAAAAGGAAGGAAAAATTGAAACAATTGCAGTAGCTGCATAATAATGGAATAAGAAAATGTTTGAAATATGTGTGTACATGCTGGTTATCTTTAATGAAATGCTTATCTAGAATTCTCGACCAATGGACTACATGCATTTACAGATTAGTAATTGAACTGTCAGACATTAATTAATTACTGTTTAAAGTTGATTCATTGTGGAAAAATATATTTTCTTTTTATGTATTTTTGTCATTAAAAATATTTTTGTCACTGAGAAAATTCTGCTGATTTCATTTTTGACTGTCATAGGTTAGCAAGTATCTGAAAGCAATAATATACGAAATGTTGCCTTGGAAATAAATCAATGAAATGCAGAAAATTGACCAACAAAAAAGTTAAAAACAGGAGTATGATAGTTACCAAATCAAAATGGAACTATTTTGTAAATTCGTAATAAGCGTAGAAAAGATTATACCGATTATATGTATGGATGGAAAATTTCATTACCAAGAAAAACTTTTTGCATTGTTAATGCATTATTTTCTTCAGATCAAATTATCGTGGTGCAAAGCAAGATATGACATTGTTTCACATTCATATTGCATCATACAGCATACTTGTGTAGTATTCTGAAACTTTTGAATATTGTGCCATCAGATTTATATAAATAGCGTGGTTAAAGGGAAAAATGGTCATTCATCTCTTTCTTTAAGTGATGAAAGTATGGTTCCATATGTTCAAATGATGCAGGGGGGGAAAAAAGGTATAGCAGTGGCTTTATCTCAAGTAGGATATTTGACACTTGTGATTGCTAAAAAATATGCTGCAATCAATTAACTATCTCGAAAGTAATTAAACTGGAGCATGAAATTGGTGATGTTGAGAGAAGAGCCAGATCAGGCCAGAAAGTGGGTGATCACAAAATCTGACGATCTGTATCTAAAACGGACGTCTCTTTGTAATTGCCATGCAAGTGCGGCTGATTGAAAACTTTAACTTAAAAAAGACTGTGCTATTAATTTAAACATATAAACTGCCCAAAGATGCTTCCCAAATATGCTTCTCGTGCGTATCGCTCCTAGAAAAAGGCTTTACTGACACAAAATTGAAAAATATATATATATATAAGAAGCGACTTCCTTGGGTAAAAGAACATGTTTCATGCATTGACTGTAAGCTGTATGTTCAGAAATATAAAAGTGAAGCTTATTATCGAGATGGCATAATGGCTACTGTGAAATTACCAGTGAGCCAAATGGTCTGGAAATGGATATCCAGCAAAGGGATTGAATGCCTGAAATTTGATATTGGAACTGTGATTGAATCAGTTTATACCCACATCTGGGAGGAGTGTTTAAAGCCAGTTAATTCAAGATAATTTTAAAAGTACTTGAAATTGCATTTTTGATCAAGACTCTGCACCCTGTCATGCAACAGAATTGGTAAGTGTGATCTAACTTATTTATGCAGGAATTTGTTGCTTCATGTAGATGCTTCCATCTCTACAACATAAAAGATGCAAGCCTATCTGATGGAATCTGGTATTAAAGTTTTGGACTGGTCTAGGAATGGTCCTGATTTGAATCTCATTAAAAATTGTTGGTATATAATAGGCACCAAATTTGCTGCTAAAATGAAACTGCAGGAAAGCATTATTAGGGTTTGGATCCTTCAAACTAGCTAGAATTACATTCAGAAGTTATCTTCTGTGCCAGACCACTTGCAAGGCTGTCAGTGCAGCTCTTGGAGGATTTACTAAATACTGAAATGATCCTTATGCATGTATACACATTTAAGTACATGTAATATGACTGTTGTTATGTAGAGGTTATATTAATTACAGGATTTGTGCATCATTTATTTTGTTTCATGTTTTGTTAAATACTGCATTTTACACTTTTTTGATTAAGTGTAAATAATTTATTAATCCTAATAAAACTGGATTAATTCTACAGTTTTATTTTAATGTAACAATGATCTTTATGTAAAAATGCAGAATTTGCACATTTTTGCAGGTGATGCATTTTTTTTTTTTGGTTCACCACTCTCTATATGTATATGTCACTTTATGGAAAACAGCTAATTAACAAAAGTAATAAACTCTGAAATGTGTTTCAGTAGTTACAGTGGAAAAGGACATTGATTAATTCAAAATTTTTTAAGCCATATAATTGTTGTAATTGGAAATATAAAATGGCATAGAATAAATATAAAATATGAAAAGGTTGATTATGTACCTTGCACATCCCGTTGAAAACTTCATAAGCATTGATGCATTCGTAAAGTGATACTGATCTGAAAAGTGAGGTAGCAGTTAAATTCAGTTATTGGGTTTGAATGTTGCAATGAGTATTTTATCTGCTATTTTTGTTGTGTTAGTTGCATTTGTAAATATCTGATGCTCAGTAATTTTTGGTAATTTTTTAAATGTCGAAATGGTATGAAGAATTTGCTTATTTTCCCTGCAAATATACTTGACGTACATATCTAATATATGTCTGTTGTGCTGGTGTCTGATTTGTCAATTCTTAACAATTTCCAGATGATTGGAGCAGGGCATATGGCAGATGTGTATCCAAATCTTTTCAAAACTGAATTAATGCATGGTGGAATGGGATAGGGAGAGAATTTTTCAGTGAATTTATCTCTGTTTGGTTCTTATGTGAATAATTTTCTTTATCTGAATTAGCTGCAGAAATTTAAAAAAAAAATTTTTTTTTACAGTTTATTTGGATAAAGTTTCTTTTGGCACAGGAACCAAAAAGAATTTAATTCATTGGAACATTCCCCTCCTAATTCATTATCTCGTGCATCAGTTAAATTTTCAAAGATTTGGATACAAACTTTTAATAACTTCAGCACCATCCCTCTGGAAATTGTTAAGGATGGTCAGAATGAGGTGTATTGCCATCCTTATCCATGACAGAGATAGGAAATGGGAACTCATATTTAATATCTTCAAGTTATCAATAAGAATTGCTGAGTATGAGAAAGATATTTGCAAATTTTTTGCCAAACAATACAGCATTAGAAATAAAAGATCCTTGGCAAAATACTCCTTGGAGCATCTAACCTGAGTAATTGATTGAGATAAAGCAAAAAACCATCATTGAACTTCAATCTAAAAAGGGCATTAAAAGTGTTGGAAATTTCCACAAGGTCATGTTTCTAATAGAGATATTCCTTTCAACTTGCTATACATTTGGATGTTGACCTTAAAAAATGCAATTAACCTTACATGAAACAATAAGAAAACAGCAATAAAAGAAGAATTTGTTATGTTTTGGCTTATAAAGCAGTTGGGCTGTCTGCTTACTTACTAAGCCTAGAATTTAATCTTCATTTCAACTATGTATGCATTTTGATTCTTCAACTCAACTATAGTTCTTTAGTTAAATTGTCCTATACTGTTTAAAAATTATTTCTATAGTCATAATGAAATTTCAAATAACTTTTCATGATACAAATGTAACCTTTTTAACATTCACAAATATTTTAAGAGAAAATGCTATGCACTGTTTTTTTTGCAACTTGCCTCATTTTTAAGGCATTGCAGTTTGTGATATTCCGTTTTCTTTTCTCACCACGATTGATAATATAGTGCCTAAAACAATGCAACATATTTTTTTTTTCTTGCAGCATAGTACTTTTTCTATTTTCAGGTTGCCTGAAAACAGTCCAGATGCTTCAAAGGCTCGAATTCGACCTCTGTATGAAATACCATATATGTTTGAAGCTCGAGAATTTCTCAGAAAGAAGTTAATTGGGAAGAAAGTGAATGTAACAATTGATTATATTCAGCCAGCTAATAATAATTTTCCTGAAAAAACCTGTTGCACTGTAACTATTGGTGGAGTGTAAGAACTTAATTTTTCTCTTAATTAATAATGCCTTTTTTTTTAGTTATTCAGCTCTTGTTTAGACTGTAGAAGTTTGTATTTTAAAATATTGTATAATCATTGTTTATCCATTTTCTTTTCAAATTAGGAATGTTGCTGAAGCCCTAGTTAGTAAAGGGTTTGCTAAAGTTGTCAGGTATCGTGCTGATGATGATCAGAGGTCTGCACATTATGATGAGCTGCTTTCTGCTGAAGCAAAAGCAATCAAATCAGGGAAAGGAATGCATAGTAAAAAAGATAATCCTGTGCATCGTGTTGTTGAACTATCTGGGGTAAATATTTTCCTTGTCAAAAAGGAGTCATGTTTTCTTAAATATTAATTCACAAATGTTGTTTTAAAAATAAATTGTAATTTTTGCTATTTTATAGTTTGCCATGCTGTCTGATTTTTTTCGTGCTAGTTGCTTGTTGTAAGAAATATGTAATTAATGATTTTTGGAAAATGGATTCAGCATTGGGTTAATTTAAGACACACCTATCTTGATTTAATTTAAAGGCAAAATGATATTACACTGTGAAAGCAATAATAGACTTTTTCTATAAAATTTTTTCAGGTGAATAGTTTTGAATGATAATACACTAAATTTAACTGATTTTAAATTTTCAAGGTTGAACAGTTGAGAACACTGGTTTAGATCAATAGGAAGCAGTAGGGCATTTTTGAAGGTGTCTTTAAATTTTTGTTGAGATTGTGATAGTAATTTTCATGCCTTGAAGAATTTCAAAGGTATGAGTCAGAATCAAATGTACCTATTTTGAACAGTCGATTAAAAACAAAGCTTTCGTGCTACGAGGGTGATATTGGCCATATGGTTTGGAGCTGAATTTGTAGAGGTTGGTGACAATATTTTTTCTCTCATCTGATGCACCTGCGAGTTTGCTGAGCTGACAAATGGAAAAATGGTGTCACCGCAAGAGAAGGCACAAATTGTTCTCTGGTTTGCAGAACACAAATCCATAGTAAAAGTGACAAAGAATGTTTCAAATAGTTTATAAAAAAAATCCATCCCAGGCAAAGAGCATAAAAAAGTGGCACAAAACGTTTCTCGAAACGGGAAGTGTACGGAAAAGATCTGGAGGATATCAGCGTTCACATTCTGCTTCACATGTGGAAGATGTTCGACAAACTTTCGTTCTGAGCCCTCGTCAGTTGATCAGGTAGGTAGCTTCTGAATTATCTATGCCACAATCAACTGTTCATGATGTGATGCATGCAGGTATAGGTACATTTGATTTGGACACCCTGTATTTTTCAAATTTTAATTGATGAGATAAATAATAATATAGTTATTCCTAAAGGATATTGGATTTTTTAGGAACAGTTAACAAAAATTACTTAAAAGTAAATTGATATAGATTTCTGCTTATTTATTGAAACACCTATTAATGAACTTTAAAAATTTTATTATTTTGTTTTGTAATCATATTTTTACTAATTCTGAATGTAGTAAATAATTCATACTTTTCTTAAATATTATATTCAAGGTTGCACGCTACCTGGAAAACCGGGAAACCGGAAAAAGTCAGGGAATTCAGAAATTGACCAAAAAATTCAGGGAAAAGTCAGGGAATTTAAATGTTTTAGTCAAAATCTGGAAAAGTCGGAATTTCATACAACGATCCCGCCAAAAAAGGCGAGTTTTGCGCCGACGTCGGAAGAGATCACTTTTTGGCGAATTGTGCATCACATGAGTGTCATTCGGGCGGCTGGCATAGAGCCAATTTTTGCAGCTGGTTTCCAGTAACCTCGAGAATCGCATGTGCAGTGCATGAACTAAAGAAAATACCTGTTCTTGTATAAAACAAAATGGGTTTAATCCTAGTATACGGTACCATGAAGGTTAGAATTAAAAAAATATGTATTATAAAGAAGGAAAACCTCTCTGCAACAGACGTGGCTCGGTTCCATCATAGCGGGAAACAGCTGTGCATGCGCGATATATCTGTCGCCAAAGCTCGAAACTGGTGTCGAAGTTCGAAGGTCAGGTCACGTTATCAGTTTTATAAATGAATATCGTTTAAAATGTCTTTAAACTCTAAAGGAAAAGAAAATATTTTTTGGCGCAAGTAAATTAATTCATGGATTAGTTATTTGAGGGGTGGGGGAATCTCCGAAAGTCTGTTTTTAAAATTATTTCGAAAAATCCAAGAAAAAACGTTCTTTTGATAAAACGTTTCTTCTTGGATCTTTTGCAATAATTTAAAAATGGTTTTTTGTAGTTTTCTTTTTTGTCAAAGAATGTTTCTTAACACGTGTTTCTTAATTTCCTGTACACATCGCGGAGAGGGAATTTCTGGCAGTTCCGTCGTCAAATCCCTTGGCAAATTTTCTCTCCGCTTTTTTACATAGACGTTCTTTGGTGAGAATAATCTCCATGTATGGTACAGTGGGATTTGGCGACATGATGATGAGCAGTAAACGGGTCATTTTGTTCTTGGCGACAATTTTCAAAATCATGCGAAGGCCGTATCGTATACTAGGATTTTACCGCAAAATCTTTTTCTTTTCTTTTCTTTTTAATAAATACCTTGTCGTTTTGCAGTAAAATAAAAAAAAAATAGTAATCAATCATCTAGGATAACCAAGAAATATAACTATATTCGCTAAAATATCGTTGATTATTCTAATTAAATTTTAAGTAGTAATTATCTTTATTTTTATGTTATTCTTATCATTTAATGTTGCTTTCTTCCCTTAAATTATTTATCATTAGTAAATAATATTTCCAATTTCAGGAAATTTTCTCTGGCATAATCCTGAAATTAATTCTAGCAGTATGATGACATCACGAAATTTAATGCACATATTTTTTCCTTATGTATGCTGCCAAATAAATATAAAATACCTCAATTTAGTAAAAAAATATCATTAAATAGATTTCTTTCTTTCGTTTAGCTGCAGAATGTCTGCAAAAAATGCCTTATTTTATTCCAGATTGGGCAGATTCTAATCTCAATCTTCAGCGGAGAAAACAACTCCTATTATAATTATTTTTGTGTTTTCAACTGTTAAGGTGCCTTTTAAGAATACACCTCACACAAATTAAATTTACCTAAAATCTAACCTAACTTTTAGCATGCGTTGTGATTTATAAGAACCGGATTAGCCTCGTGTTGAACTGGGGATAATCATGAGTAATAATTAAAATAAAACGTTACAGTTGTTATCCAATGTATATATCTTAAATTTTTAAGTTTTTAAGCGGAAAAGTAAACAAAATTATCAAACAAAAAGTGTACCAAGAATAATTAAGAATAAATGTCCTCTGGGATTTATTGAATAATTAAGTGAATTTGCTACACAGTACAAGTAATACCATAATTAATTTACCTCTTAGCACAGCCAACGTACATTACGCGGATAGACTAGAATTTTCTCGAAACATACCTGGAAAACCTGGAAAAGTCAGGGAATTTCATTCTCCTGTTTGAGAGGCAACCCTGTATATTGAACCTTTTTTAAATATGCAAGTCTCTAAGATTAGTCTCTAAGAGAGAGAGAGAGATAAGTCTTAAAATTTTGTAGAACATTAATGGTATGGGTTGCATAATTTGTATGATGCAGTGATTTATATAAAGTACTATCATTTTAGTTTACTGCTGGGTATAACAATACTGTTCATTTGCAGTATGTCAAATAAAAGAGATGGCCTGTTGTCTGTTTTTCAGGCTTGAAACATAAAAAATCACATATTTTTAAGAATTTTAATAAATGGAAATTTGTATACTTCATTGATTTCACATGTATGTTCTTCCTATTTACTTGTATTACTCGGCTAAAATATTCATTATTCTACTAATACTGTGTTATTCCATCTTTCCTGCACAAAACAGATGCAACATATTTGGCATGGATTCTCCAAGTCCCTTGTATGTGTTTGGAAAAAGACTGCCAGATATGCGGGCAGAGATTATGCACATTTTATTAGTATGTAGTTGTCATCTCCGAGCTGGTGCTGCATTTGTCATTCAAGATGTGCTGAATAGAAACAATATCTGGAAATTTAGCAATCCAGAATGGAAATTCATCTGCATTCTCCTCAACAACTGTAGTACAAACATGAGCTTTGTGGCAAGAAGCATTTTCTTGTTGAAAAAGAGCCTATTCCAGATAGGGAAGCCATAAAATGATGTTCCTTATAGTTCATAATCAGCAGTGATACTTCCTTAGTTTGCAGCTGTTATCTTTGTGCTCTGCAGCAGCCACTAGTTCCCAGAAATGCATGCAAGAATGTCCACCAAGGCATAATACATCTACCACCAGCCTGTTAAATCCTGTAAATGTGTCAGTAAACTGTTGGAAGACGGCTTATCATGACATGGGCATGGACATGATATAAAAATCATGGTTCATCAACTATGCAATTCTCTTCCAGTGTTGCATAGTTGAAACATATCACTGGTCCGCTGTTAATTATAAACATTGATGACCATGGCTATGAGGAGAATACAAGAGAGGCATCTGCTTTAGTGTCCCACATTCAACAGAATACAGTGATGTGTGTTTTCTTAGATATCCTTTCTTATACTTGGACCTGCTTTATATTAGCTGTAAGTTAAGTTATCAGTAGCTTTCTGTATGCCTTTACCAACATCTGGCATCTGGATCAATGTGGACACCTGCTGCATGAGGATCTGCTATTGGTTTTACTGTCCTCCTCTTCTTTACAGTACTAACAAAGGGAGCTCACCAACACCCAATGAGCAGTGCTGTTTTGTAGATGCTTGTTTCTGGCCTGTGGGCTATATGATCTGATCTTTATCAAAATTACTTAAATTGTAACAGCTTTTGCAATTACTTGCACATGTTGCTAGCAGAACGATGCCTGTTCTCGAATTGGATCATCTGGTTGAAAGGGGAAATGAAACAGGCATTTAGAATTTGAGTCTTAAAAGAATTGTGTAGAATAATGGGAAATGGAAATGCTATATAATAGTTTTTTTTATTTTTTATTAAATTTTCACTTTAAAAATTAATTAACCATAAAATAAAGTTTGTGTATATTTAAATTATCAACTGAAATCATTCACATTATTGGCTGTTTGTATTCATATTATAATTATTCAAATAAAATTATTTTCTATTAATAGCCTATTGTCCCCTAATTTTTGTTACATTATGTAGCTTCATAGTTTCACTATCTGTACAATATTGTGATAACTTAGCCTCTGTTGCTAACAAGGGATTAATATAACTCATTTAAATTTTAAAGTTTTTTTTTTTTTTTTTTTTTTTTTTGAGGTGGGGGAGATTTCAGAGTCATTGCAGATGAAATAACTATCCTTTTCATAAAAAAATGACCAAGAAGAAGTAAGTTCTGCCATTATCCAGTTAAAGTGCTTACTCTCGTTAATAGGTACAATGAAATATTTTAAATTTGATGGTCATGGAAAAAGCTGCAGTGATGGAAAATGAAATCCCAGTGCCAAGAGGAAATCAGTTAAGAGGAATGAAATGTCAAAAAGCTGTAATGTTTCAAGGTCACAGTTTAAGGTATGCATTGAGGAGAGTGATTTCAAACGTGAAATGGTGGTGTTACGTGTAATGGATGTAGTCACTATGATGTATGCTCTAGCATACATCATAGTGCTCTTAAAAGCATACCTGCACAACACAAATATCCACAAATATGTATATTGTGTTGTGCGGATGCTCTATGTCATTTGTTCAGATAGCGTTCCATGCCTGTTGCATTTCGTCAGTGAAATGAGCAACGGATCATGCTGGTTATGGATGACATTGGATTTGTTGTTCAATCGTATCAGATATGGGCTCAATGGGAGAAATATTAGGTGATCTCGTTTACCGAAACAACATGTCAAAACTCTATAGAAGATGTTGAATGATATCAGCTGTATGGGGATAAGTGTTACCCTGTTGGAAAAGGCTCCTTGGAATATTGCTGAAGAACAAGCAGCACAACTGGTACAGTCACCAGGCTGACATTCAGATTTTGCTGTCAAGATGTGTGGGATAACACATCTTTTCCACTGTTGTAGGCAATTATTTTCAAGATTGTAACTCCTGGTGTAGGTTTAGTGTGTGTATACCATAGACACCTTGGTTTCAAAGTGCTCACCTTTTTCTTTTAACCAGAATATTGCAGTCATTGGCACTAAAACAGTAACAGCTCTCTTCTGAGAACACAACGGATCTCCATTCTGCTGTCCTGTGGGTTCTCTAGCTTGAGACCACCGAAGTCACAGATGACAGCCAATGGTATGGTCACTAAAGGGTTTCTGGCTTAGAGCTGACGCTCAATTAATTGATTTGTTACAGTTTGCTTTGTCACTCTGGTGCCAACAAAAGCCGAGATGTCTGCTGCATATACAGTGTGATGCACCACAGGCATGCAGCAAATAAACAGCCTTCCATGTGAGTGGTGACATGAGTTTGATTGGACTCTAGTCTCATTCAGACAGTTCTTCCCTGTACTTCAGCCAACACACATGCACAGTGGGTACATCCTGTCAGATTTTTGTGCAGGTATCGCAAAAAGAATATCCATCTTCTGATAGCTCTATTACACAGCCTTGTTCAAACTGAGTAAGCTGCTGATACTGCCTTCATCTCCTTAAAAGCATATATCTTGCTCATAAATGACCAATCCAGAAGATAAATAAAGCACACAAAGTTTACATTGTGTTTATAAAGCAAACATGTTTTGCATGTACATAGTGGTTGCTATTAACACAACACTAATTTGTCTTGCTCAAAGTTTGAATAGAAGTCAATTTTCGTGTGCGTAAGCATGCCCCCCCCCCCGAATTTTATTTATTTAGCACAACTCCTTCTTGGTGTTAAGATTTCATTTTGCCTTAGGGATTATGATTTTTAAACTGTAATAAGAAATATTTATTATTTGGCATGACTTTTTTTTTTTTTTTTAAATTTCAGCTGTAACTATACTTTTAAGGCTTAAAGTCTTTAACTTATTTATTATCTACAGTAGTTTTAATTTCTTTGAGTAAAATTCTTTTCCTTCTCAGGATGTTCAAAAATCAAAGCAGTTTCTCCCATTTCTTCAAAGAGCTGGTAGGATGGAAGCAGTGGTAGAATTTGTTGCAAGTGGATCTCGACTACGTATATTTGTGCCACGAGAAAACTGTCTTTTAACATTTCTCCTTGCAGGTTAGTCTAAATTTCAATATCTCGGTTTCATTTTGCAGATATTACTCATCCGTGTTAACTATCTAATTTTATATTTTGAAGGCATAACTTGTGTTAGAGCTTCTCGAGAAACGAAAACTGGTACACAACCAGGTGATTTGTTTGGAGATGAAGCATTAGCATTTACAAAGGATTTATGCTTGCAGAAAGAGGTTAGTTTTTAAGAGCTTATTTCATATCTGAAAAGTTTTGGGTTTAACCATCATTTCTTTCTTTACTTATTGTAAATTAGGAAGCTTTTTATTTTTATTGTGTTGTGATAGAATTGATAATGAGAAAATAAAGAGGAACTGAATCATATTATTGATTTCGAGGAAATTTCAGAATAAGTATAGGTAGTAAAACCTAGTTTGGAATATGTATTGTGAATATTGATTTGAATTTTGCCTTGTTTTAAGATTCTTAGATGTTTGAAAGGAATACAGTACATAGTCTGTAATCTCGACGTCCAAAATCCGGACTGATCTATAATCCGGGCCTCAAAGCTACAAACTTTATGCATGTTTAATGTATAATGGATGGTATAAGCTAGGCTAAAATTATCTAAGTCATTTCAGTTAATGTTGCAGATTGCGCTGTTCCTTAATCTTCTAATTGGATCCGGCTTATTATTTTTTGCAGACTGTTAAAACAATTTTATAAAAATTAAGTTTGAACTTTCGATTATGTCAAAAAGAGTTTCCAATTCTGGAGCTGCCAAAGGATCTACAAAGCGAAAGCATGTTCAATGTCCATTAAACAAAAAGTGGAATTGCTGCAAAAAATGGATAAAGGCCTATCCGTCTCAAAATTATGCGAGAAGTATGGCATTGGAAAGTCCACTATATATGACACAAGAAAAAGGAATTTTTTGTGGAAGCATCTTAAAGAACTTACATTGAAAGAAATGTTTAATAAAGTAAACAAATAAATATTAATCTTTTTTTTTTTTTTTTTTTTTTTTGTAAATTTTGATACCCTTTAGATCATAATTGTTCTTTATTTCATAAATTACGATTTCATATTTTTAATTGTATAATTTCTGCGTGCCATCTTACCAGATTTAAATTGGTGATCTATAATCCGTGAAAACCCCTAATCCGGAATCGCCCGAGGAGTCCAGATTACGGACTTTGTACTGTATTATGGGATCGGGTTTGAACATGAAACTTCATACTGCAAATTTCATGAAATTCTGTATGACAAATCATTAAGGTGTTACAAAAGCTATAATGTGTTTTAGATTTATTGTTAAGATGAATCCATCAGTGGCAAAGTAACTGAAGCCACAAAACATTGTTAGTTTGTCATGGGTTTTGTTTCCCGGTGATTAACACTCTATCTGCTTGCTATTTTGAGTATTGCCCTTTGCAAATATGATCGAGCTTCTGTTAAAAAGTCCCTCATTGAAGGTATTCCTCTATTTAAGCAGATAAGCTTTATATTCTCTGCAGCAACTAAGTAATCCAGTTCTTTTGTAATTTTTTATTTAAATGAAGAAGGTTTATTTACATTGTTTTGTTTTTAAACTCCTCTACTGAAAAGAAACATACTTAAACTTTAAATTAGTGCTTTCCTTAGTGTTGTATCCATCACCAATCACTTTCCATTCCTAGAAACAAAAATGATTTCCTTTGAATTCTAGGAGACTATCTGAAGTGTTGTTGGCTTCCCGTTCTCTTAAAATCTTCCTGTATGCCAAATATGAGTTGTTTAGGGTGTTCCTTTTTAGAAAATCTTTTGGAATTCTGACCAAGATGTTGGATATGTTTGTGATATTAAATACAGGAGCTCACTTATTTATGTATAGCAGTGGAGCTTTTTTAAACCAATATTTAAAATCCATTTTTCTCTTGAGATAAGATTTGACCACCATTATTTTCTTTTCTGTATATGCAATAGATTCTTTTCACTTTGTATTAGTTCTGCCATAAAATTTTTGCACATAAAAAAACAACTTTTTTTGTGTGTGTTGAAATTAAATTTTCAGTTATTAGTTATTTTCTGAATGGAATTCCTGTGTGATTTTTGTGATTTGAATTTTAGCCACTTTTAAGGGAAACAAAATGTGGTTATGGAAAGAAACAAATTTTGCACATAAAAGTTTATGTAATTTTTTGAAGTATAAAAATTTTAATAAGAGATTTGTATTAAATGATATCTAATTAAAAGTAAGTGTAAAAATGAAAAATTGCATTCATATGTGAAGAACTGGTAAGGCGTTTTCTTGATAAAAAGTACGATTTTCATACATTGCTTAGAGTCTGAGTATCATTGAAACTGCATTGTCAGTTGGGAAAAACACACTTTTTCTTTATTGCAGTGGGAAATGACTAAACTTGTTTTGTGTATATTGTAATTAAAGCGTGGGAAACTGAACTTGTTTTGTGCAGATTGTTATTTAACTGCAGATAACAAATAACTAATTTTGTACAGATTTTTATTAAATCGCGGGAAACAAAAAAACTCATTTTGTGCAGATTGTTGTTAAAGTGCGAGAGATGGCAAAAGTAATTTTCTAAAAATTACTGGTGGGATTTTTGGTAACAAAGTGCTTTATTTTTACAGTAATTTGATTTTCTTACACTAAATTCCTAAAAATGGACCACTATAGAATAAAATGTCCTGAAGAATTGTATGCAGATAGTTCATTGAATTATTCCTGCAAGAATGAGCTTCCCAATGACGATTCTAGTGACTATGAAATAACATGACATCATGAGACTTTTTTTTTAACCAAGAATTTACAAGTAGTTCTGATTCAAGCATGAGTCCAGGTGATTCTGAAGAATGATCACCAGTAGACAATTCACCAGTCATGGAAGAATTTTTAGATTGCTCAGGAATAAGTATGGAAAATATTCTGTATAGTGTGCCAGGTGCTGTAGCTTTATTTATTAATGCTTTTTTTTTTACATATACAAGGATCAGATATTATTACCAAAATGTTGATAAATTCACAAATCCAAGAAAGCCCTCAAATGGAAAGACATTACAAGACAAAATTTTTTTGGGGGCTTATTCTTATTGCACAAATACATAGACCAAAAAATAGGACATCTGAAGCATGGATCTGTGTATCGAAATGCCAGTTTTTCCAAATATAATGACGAGAGAGATTTCATCAATTATGGAAGTCTTAGCACTTCAATAATAATGAAAGCATGGATGAACCAAGAGATTTTTTTAGATCTTTGGAAAAAGTAATCTAGTAAAAGGGTCTAGAAGAATCTTCTGGTTTGAAAACTACGTATTTTTCATCCTTCCTAGTCTTCTCCAGCAAAACCAGGAGATTCTTCCACACCCTTGGTGAAAAGTAGGTTATGTCACCTTGAAACCAGCACACTAATTACGTAATTTTGTATGCTAATTAAAAGACATTTGCTATATGGTGAGGATTTAGCGAGAAAACACCCACTTCAGATGTGTTAAAATTAACTGTGCTTCAAGTTGTTTAATTTTTTTAATTTACAAATCCAGTATCATAAATATTACAAGTGGCTTTTGTGATTTCATTTAATTATATGAATAATGATAAGAAGATATTTAAATTCTTTACATAGTAGTAAGAACATTTTTCTCTATTGTTGCTACATCAGTAACAAAGGAGTAGTAATCTTACTTAGCTTTGTAGGTAGAGGTAATATGAGCATAGCAGGCATTATCTACTGCCTAGGTGAAAACTAGTAAGCTAGAATCCAGTGCTGTATTGGCACACTAAGTGATCCTGCTGTTATTATGGAAAACTAGCAATTAAAACAGAACAATGAATGCAGTATCTCAACAACATGAATTAACTGAATGTGTAACCTTGAAAGGTCATCGACCACTGAAGGAGGTCAGATGCAATCCATTGTAGTGAAAGCGTTAGGAGTTTCTCAAAGTGTCATTTCCAGACTATGGAATCAGTTTTTGGAAACTGGAAATGTTCGCCAAAGATCAGGACAAGGTTGTATGCCTGCAACAACACAAAACGAGGATCGGTGTTTATCACTACCTGTTAGAAGAAACTGCACTATAAATGCCACTTTCTCGCACCTTCAGATTGCTACGGATACCAGAGTTTCAACTCAAATTGTTCGCAACTCATTCCACACTGTAGGTTTGCAGGCTTGCTGACCTATGGTTGTCTTTCGTTAACACAGGACCACTGTGCTGCCAACAGAAGGTGGGTACAGGAACATCTCAGGGACGAGATGAGTGGGTCATTTTCTCTTCATGGACAAGTTCTACTTTGGTGTACAATCTCGCAATAGGTGAATTCTCATCTGGAGAGAACCAGTGTATGAAACCATTTGTGTATGAAAGTGTCCAGTTTGGTGGAGGCGGTCTGGATAGATATTCTTATCAATTGCCTTAATTCCCATCAATGATCAATACTAATCAATCAGTATTCAACCTGCATATTATCAGGATTGGAGCACTAACAACTAAGCAATATAGGCATGATATCATCAGACCTGTTGTGGTCCTTTACTCTGCAGCAATCGGGGATGAATTCATTCTCAGGGATAACCTTGGACTACATCATGCTCAGCTAGTGAATAATTTTCTTTTCGATAAAGGAATCCTTCTAATGGATTGGCCAGCTTATTCCCTAGATACGAAACCAATAGAACATGTTTAGGACATTCTAGGGAAAAGGGTGGTTTTCCCCATGTGTAACGTGTATACGAGCCAGTTTCCCTTAGAAAGTCCTCCATGGAGGCATCCCTCCCCTTAGGCAGATAGCTCTAACTGTGCTTTGCCATAATTAAACACACCACCACACATCTAGGAAAAAGGATTGCTATTTGCTTATCATCCCCAGAAGCAATTCAACTGTTGAAAAGCTTTCTTCTGCAAGAGCGAGAGAGAATACTCCAGTTCCACATTGATAACCTCACTGATTCCATGTCTTGTGGGTGTGCAACATTGATTTTGGCCAGGGGGAACCAAAAACTATTGAAATTCATCTGTATCCGAGAAATCACACCTTTTTTTTGTAGAATATGTGCAGATTGTGTATTTTGTGTTTACTAACAAATATAATCAATGAAATTTAATTATTCCGTGTTGTTGCTTCTTTTTCTTTTCTTGTACCTTACAACACCTATACATCATATATTGGTCAGGAAAACATTTCTATATCTGCAGTTTATGTCCCGAATCATAATATTCCCTAACTGTTTGAAGCAGTGTGTATCAAATTAAAATATTGCTAATAGCTGTCAAATTATAATCTGAATTAGGGCTAGTTGAATAATATAACTGTTAAATTTAGAACACTGCTAAGCAGTGTTGATTTGTGGTTTAGACACGAGTATTAGGAGCAAATCCAGAAGCTTCATTAATATATGGATAGGTTTTGCAAAGCATGCATTTGTATTTTCCTGTTATTGTAATTGCCTTTTCAGAATTTAATTAAGTGATAAATTGGGATCTGTCTTATATTTGCCATATATAGTAAGAAATGAAAACTCCATGCTGGCAGCTTTTCAGTTTCCACTTAAGTATAACTTTTTTTATATTAACCTTTAAAAACTCTCTTTGCAGAAGTTCTGAATTTGAAGCTGTTTCAGAGAAAGGCTTCACGGTGATGGGAAAAAATAAATTCTGACATTGTAGAGATCGGACAGTGTTGCCAACATTCTTACAATGTTGCATTTTTCTGTTTTATTTGTGCCATAATAATTTGATGAGTAAAAAAAAAAAAAAAACTATAAGAAATGCTGTCTTATATTTAAAAAGTTGGCTTTTATTGATAGAACTGAAATTGCCTTGTCATTTGAAATTTTAGACATATTTTAAAAATAATGAATCAATATTCCTGAAGTTAAACTTATAAGGTATTTCTTCTGCCTTCTTAGCCTACCTTCGTGGTGTAGTGGTCAGCACACTCGATGCATATTCGAGAGGTCCATGGTTCGAGTCCCAGCGAGGACATTGCTAATTTTTCACACCTCGTGCTTCCTCCCCCCCAAAACCTATTGTCTCTACAGTGGCACCCAAACTATAAAGGGTAGTGGATGATGATTCTCCACCATCAGAAATTGGAGATTGGGTCCCCTAATCCCCAGTCACCCTTTAAAAGGGGGCGTAGATAAGGTATATCTCTTGCGGCCTTAGCATGCCTTCATATTGTAATGGTGAGCACATACAACATGTATTCAAGAGGTCCGTGGTTTGAGCCCTGGCAAGGGCATTGCTAATTTTTCACATCTCTTGCTTTCAAAAAATATATAATGTCTCTACAGGCTTAAAGAATAATTAAAATGTTACATTTGTAATGCAGTAATCCTTGGAATCTGCCCTGTTGTTTCCCTTCGAACTAAGTAAGTATACAGAGTGCTTCACTGAATATCTTTTCCTGTCAATTTGTGCCTGTTTATTAATTGAATAACACATAGAGGAACAGATGTCAACAGTACTATAGCAAAAGGAATCAGTGTTAAGTTGCATAAATTTGCGGGACTAATTCAGAAGGTTAAAAAAGAACCTTCTTCAGCTGGTGGGAAGCCGACAAAAATAAAAAGTATTATATATATATTTTTTTAAAGGCTGAAGGTAAGGATTGCTTTGAATTGGGATCATCAAATAGAAATGAAAGTTTTTTGTGAAAGTGAAATGCTCTTAGGTAATCAAATGCACCAATTGAAGAAGTTTATCGAAAATTTGGCTGCAGATAAAATGAAAAATGTGTTTTTTTTTGGGACTGGGCATTGGGGTATTTATTTGCTTCTTTTATTATCTCAGCATTTGTCTCATGTACCTTTTTTTGAAATTTTATAGTTGTCTTAGTTTGACCAATGTATAGTAAGCCATATTGGCAAGGAATACAGCCTCAGGTGTTCGGATTGGGATCTTTAAGTACGGAATTGTGAATTTTATTCATAGAAGAAGGAAATGACATGATATTTAAACTTCTGTAAAGGTTTTTTTTTGTTTAATAACACAATTTTGCAAAATTGCTTTAATTTATAGTTATCCATATCAAATTTGGGCAAGAGAAAATTTTCCTGTTATTGTCAATGAAATGGTCTGTTTTTGAGCTATATTAGAGAAAGTGGTACTTGTGTATAATTCCATCGACCAAGAAAGTTGTTTACCATCGAATCAAGAAAGTTACCAGAAATATTGCCTGTTCTGTATGGCTGTGAATCAATCAGTATTCAACTCATTTTGGTTTTGTGTATTGTAAAAAGTCTTTTGTCTATTTCTTCTATTTTGTTAAGCTCTCTGGTTTGACAGGAAGCTCTGTTTAGAGAATGTTGTGATTACAAACTTCCCATGGTTAATTGTTCCAATCTAACAGTTTTGTCAGCCATATTCAGCAGACTATATAGTGTTCATTAATGCACAGTTTTTAAAATGGTGGAATGATAGAAAATAATCTCCTGCATGCAAGTATGTTTTTTCAAAATACAAACAAAAAAATGGCAGCAATAACAGTTCAGCTTCTTTTTCAGAAAAACAAAAGGTGGCTTGCCGAGAATTAGTCGAGGCTGCATAAAATGAAAGTGCTGATGTTATAAGTATATTTGGTGTCGATCTTGTCTATAAGTGGCGTAAACCCTTTGACGCGCGGTGGACGCGCCCTGAAACCACCATTTTCCGATTTTTTTTCTCCTCTTTTTTCTGAAATTTTTGAGTGAAAATGAATTGATTACTGATCTTTTACATCCAAATAACACAAAATGACTGTAAAATTATATATGTTTTAGGTATTAATACTTCAGATCGGATGCCTTTTAAATTTCGTTTTCGATGAGACAAAATAACTTCCTTTTATTAATATAAACAACATTTAAATTTCAAAAGTTTTTCATCGCACATCATGATTTCTATCCAGAAACAATAAAAAATAGCAATAATTAAACTGAATACATAAAAAAAACCCTATATGTATTGGCATTTGCTTTGTAGTTTCAGGGTGCGACCACTGCACCACTAGAGCATTGTAACACAATGCTTACAATCCTCTAGAGGCTCAGTGGTCGCACCTTGAAACCACTGCTCTTCATAATGGCATTTGCTTGCTTCTCAAATAGGAATGTTTATTTTTAACCTGGATATAGATAAAGGGTTTTGAAACCACAGAGTTATTTTATTACTAAACAATACATGCACCTGCCCAGTAAAAAGGTCTTAATTTTCTAGAGACTTTTCTCTGACCTCAGCACACTTGCTTGCTCCCCAAGCTAGTATTGCGATTTTATAAATTATTTTCCTGTGGTTTAAATTTAATGTAAATATACTTTTGCTACAATTAAAAATAGAAATCGCATTAATTTTTTATTTATAATTAGAAATATTTTCTGAATATTTTGGGACGAAATACGAATAAAATAAGTATGAATGGGAAATGAACGATCCGTACAAAGTGAAAAAGACCAAGCCCCCCCCCATTAACATAAAAAACCACAAATTTCATGTGTCAGATGAAAAGAAACTAAATAATGCTCGACATATACCAGTGAAATTTAAATCCAGGTTGTGTACATTTTGTAGCACAAGGAAGAAACCTCATAGAACAAGATGTATGTGCGAAACGTGCAGTGTGGGTCTATGCATGTACAAAGAGACAAAACATGCTTTGAACAGTGTCACAAAAAAATTTGTTCTTTGAAATTAAAAAAAAAACACCAAGTTCTTTTTTATCCTTATTTTATTGAGTTTTTTAATCCATTTATCCAAATGTCCTTATTATGTAGGTACTTATATTTTCACTGCTATAGAAAAATTACATAAATGTTTATTTTTTTCTGACGATTTACTTTGTAAAATAATGTAAAAAAATTATATATAATGCAATTCTTACATACATTTTTTTAAAAATCTGTAAATTTCGTCATTTATTGGAAGCGTGCGCGGAAAATGCAACGTTTTTTTTTCCTACTACATCAGTAAGTTTCAAAGTCCTAGACGCGCGGTGGTTTCACAGTTCAACCACCACCCACAGAACAATGGGCAAGAGTAGATTTTTTTAAAATTCATATATTATTTGTCTCTAGGATCATAATATTCTATTTCTAGAGTTTTTAGTTAAAAAAATTATAAAAATAATATTGCGTGCGTCAAAGGGTTAAACTGCACTGATTGGTGATAGGCTGAAACGTAAGTACTGATAAAAATTTTCTGTGTTGTTGTAACTCAGGTGTAGTTAATATTATATTCCCTTACTTTTATTTTATCAAATTTGTCTAAAATAGTGTTACTATTAGGTTCAGATTGAAGTTGAGTCAATGGACAAAGCTGGGAATTTCATCGGCTGGTTGTGGATTGATAATATCAATTTATCTGAAGCTCTGGTGAAAGAAGGTTATGCCGAGATACATTCTACTGCAGCAAGAAGTCCTTATATTAGAGCACTGCAAACAGCCCAGGAAGAAGCTCAGAAGAAAAAAGTAAAAGTGTGTATTAGATTTGTGCCTAAGTATTTTTTAACCTTAAATAGGAAAGGAAATTTGTACTACCCTGTATACAATCTAATTAACTATATTTACTTACTTTTGAATTAATCATTAGTAAGATGTTACAACATAAAACTGTCTTAAAATATTTTAATCACAGCTGTATGTATTCAGAATAATTATATAATTAATGATGAGTTTTAATGAGAAACGTTAAAATTTGTGTTAATATAAAAGTACACTGAAATTGTGTAAATGATACAGTATTATCCTAAAAGTTGCTGCACAAATATAGGAAGTTTTTAAATTTACTTTTTGTGCCTTTGAAGAAACAAAATCTTCAATATTTTTTAAAGAAATATCTTTTATTTTTAAATTCATATTTTACAGTGAGACTGTCATGACTAGCAACAGAAACTGGCAAAATAAAAAAATTCTTATTTTAACTTCCGATTCCAATACCATTGAACTGAACTCCATTCAAAAATTATTTTCGAAAAATGAAATTTGAAGCAGCTTTAATGTCCAGAAATAACTCATTTTTAAAATTAGGTATTTCTGATTAAACTTTTGTAGCATTTATATCATTTGAATACACTCTTTTGGGGGGGAATCGAAGCACCATGAAGGAAGTGGTTGTTTTTGATGAAATTGACAGGGTTCGTAGCGGTCCTTACAAGTGCTTATAAGTCTTTATATTTGAAGATAAAAAATAAAAGCCCTTATAGGCGCGTACTTTTTCTCTGAAGCACTTATTTTTTTGCTTTTAGTGCTTTTTTTTTAACGAACACACATTTTTTCCCTGTACCAAAGCTGAAACTAAATAAACAACTTTTCTTCTTTATATGGATTGTCAGATGGTGAATCATACTCCCAGAAATCGCTTTTCGCCCCCTTTCTCTGCATAACATAACATTTTGTGCATTTTGTCTCTGCATAACAGACAGGTGCACGTCGTTCTATTGGTCAAAGAATTGCGAAAGCGGTAGAAATTCTGTATTCTTTTGCTCCCACCCAATACTAGACACGTTTGAATTTCTATCAAGATTTCAATAATTTACATTCTCGTTCCACGTGGTCAGCTCATATTCGCATTTATTATGATCGGTATTGTATGAATATTTATAATATATTTACAGTAACTGCTGAAGTATAGATAAACTTCAAAAATGGGTGTGTTTTAACACAGATTAGTTTTCTAAGGAATAATATTCAGAATGGCATAAATAAAGTGAAAGTAATCAAATAGTAAAAATAGTTTTTTTTTTTTTTTTTTTTTTTTTGTTTTTGGCCAATGCATTAAACAGTATGCAAGTTGGGTGTTCTCCCCTTTCTCCACAAAATCTCGAATATTGAATATTGAAACCGTTACAGTTAGCAGCAAAGCAAGCAACAGACTTTTTTTGGTCACTTTCCAACCTGGATTGAATAGGACTAAAAGTTCTGCGGTCTACCAATCCAAGCAAAGAATGATTCTATTCCGGAAATTTAATGCAGTCTGTTCAAAATTAGAATGAAAAACACCTCATATTGGTAAATCTCTTTATTAATCAATATGAGTGTAGTATGGATATTGCACGGAGCGGCGGCATGTCCTGCTCAATGATAAATATGCCACATGGGCGTATGACCATCCGAATACCGGCAGCTGTTGATTCTGATTGTGTAACAACATGTGTGGAAGAATTAAGGCTCACATATTGCACAATAATGTTTGCCATATTTCTCAGAGATAAAACAGTTTTACTGTGCTTGCTAAGCAGATTATTTTTGCAGTTCCATTGGACTATTTTTTATATAATTCACATATCGAAATGTCAAAAGCATTATTTAGCTGAAAAATCTAAAAAACGGCCCCCTTTCCTCTTTTACCAGTTATGCTCGACTATCCAGAAGTTTCAGATATTCGGCAATTTCCGAGTATGCCGGTTAGTTAAGCTTTTACTTTTTAAAGAATGACTGCATGAAGCAATTTCCCGCCTTCTGATTTCAGAAAAGTTTCTTTTTTTTACTTAAATTACTTTGCTTGCAATATCTGTTAAGGGGGAAAACTGTTATACAATGAAAATTTAGAAAATGTTTAGAATTTTGATTTAAGTTAAATTTTTTAAATATTAATAGGATTGTAAAAATAAATTGTATTTATTTTTAGGTGCCAAGCTAATATAATAAATATGGCTTATTATTATTTATTTCCTCTATTTTGAACTTAAATTCCATCACTAAATCTTGTAATATAATTTAGTTCTGGATAGTTTCCCCCCTCTCATTGTAAACTAGTTCTATAAATTGAACTGTTATTTAAAATTAAAAAAAAAATAATGTAATTGTTTTCCATGGTTGAGTAATTCTCATTCTCTCGTAATAAATATTGAATTTCTCATATTTTAAATTACAAGTCTAATTTTTCTTTTAAGGTTTATGCAGTTGTGTATATGTAATTAAACAGGTGCTTATTTTTTTCCTTAAAATGTGCTTGAAAAGTGCTTATAGGTGCTTATTTTTTTAACTAAAATGTGGCTATGAACCCTGATTGAATATGTGCATAGCTTATACTCAGATAATAAAATGATTAAAAAATCAAGGTCATAGTACCTGTTCACGGCTCACAATCACCCATTGAGTGTTCAAATTAGTAGTTGATCGAACCACACCTGGCGGCAATGCATGCTTGAATTTGTCGAGGCAAGGAGTGGTAGAGGTTCCTAATGTCATCTTGCGACACATTCTACCAGACATTCATCAGTTGTCATTCCAGAGCTGCAATGTTTTGTGGTGCCCAAATCTGACAGCCTATTATGCCCCAGACATGCTCGATTGGTGAAAGGTTTGGTGACCTTACTGGCCAAGGAAGAGTATCAACCACATGGAGACAGTCTTGAGATATGTGTGCGGTATGTGGCCTGGCATTGTTGGAAAATGTCCCCAGGATGACGTACCATGAAGGGTAATGTAACCGACCGTAGGAAGGTATCAACATATCGTTGAACTGTTGAAGATTTACGGAGGATGACTAAAGATGACCTGCTGTTATAAGAAATAGCATCCCACACCATCACACCAGGGGTTATTGGCTGTATGCCTTTGTAAAACAAAGGCTGATTGGGACCACTGGCCCCGTCCTCTCTAGATACAAACACGTTGGTTATCTGCTTCAAGAGTGAAGCAGGATTCATCGCTGAATACTGTACGATGCCAGTCTGACAGCAGCCATGATGATCGGCTGCATCATCACTCCAGATGACTCCGCTGAAGTTGTGGGGTCAAAGTCAAACGTCTTATGTGAGCATAACCCCACCTCAGACAAGTGCTGTGAGATGATGGACGGTACCACGGGAGGTATACATGTGCCTGTAGTGCATTAAGTAGTCAACAGTGATACGTTTGAGGTGGTTCAAGCCTGGCGAACAATCATCGTATCTTGCCTCGCATTTGAAATATCAAGGTCAACCTAATTTGTGTCAGATCCTTCCTTAAAAATCCTGCGTCTTTAATATCTTCCGAAACAGATTGAAGTTGTGAAATTGAAGATACCTGTTTTCCTTCAGGATTACCAATATTGTATTCAGAATCGTTGTTATTGAAACTTACTGTCACTTCATTATCAAGATATAGAAAAAATTTCTCTCTTTCTCTTAAATGCCTTTTGTAGGGAAAGTATATTCTTTTATATAATGCAACAGTGAAGCACAGTCAAGTGTTTTTATAGAAAACTAGAGAGCAAGATGTGCTCCTGAGGGATATCGTGCCAAATTCTGTCCAACTGGCTCGTTAGATGGTCAACATCCCGAGCTGGTTGGAGGGCTCTGCCCATAATAGCCAAACGTGCTGAATAGGAGAGAGATCCGACGACCTTGCTGGCCAAAGTAATGTTTGACAAGCAGTATAAACATGTCCAGTGTGGGGGCAGGCATTATCTTGCTGAAATGTAAGCCCAAGGTGGCGTGACATGAAGGGCAATACAACGGGCGTTAGACTTTGTCGACATACCGCTGTGCTGTAAGGTTGTGACTGATGACAACCAAAGGGGTCCTACTATGAAATGAAATGGCACCTCAGACCATCACTCCTGGTTGTCGGCCTGTCTTCCGGAAGACAGTCAGGTTGGTATCACACCGCTGTCCGGGGCATCTCCAGACTTGCCTTAGCTGGTCATTGGGGCTCAGTTCAAAGCGGGACTCATCACTGAAGACTATTCTACTCTAGTCAGTGACATTCCAGTGTGAATGAGCCTGACACCACTGCAAATGGACTTGACGTTGTATGTCAATGGTAGTCGGTGCAAAGGGCGCTGTGACCTCAGCCCCCTTTCTGTGAGCCGTCTATGAATATCCATCTTGCGTTTTTTGTTTAATTCAGTATGAAGCATGCAAGGGGTATAACTAAGGAAAGAATGCTTTCATAGAGAATGTTTTGAGGCTAACTGGCCCATATTTATACTGCATATGGGGAAGAGAAAACTTTGAAAATGCCTTACTATTCACTGAGATTTTTCTTTTATTGAGACTGGTTTTTTTACTTTTAATTTGATTTCTGTTCATTTAGATTAAAATTAATCATGCTGTTAAAACTGCATTTTATGTACTGTTTCAGTTTTTAATTGCAGAAGTTTCTTTTAACTTTTTTAATTGCTTCTAGTATTAAATTTGATGCAGATAACATACAGAATAATTTTAAATTGCATTTCCAGAACATGCCATTATTTTTATTCCAGTGCAATGACATATCATTTGATGCTGTCATATAAATCTTCAACAATAAGTTAACTGAAAATTACATAAATACAAGAGCTTGATTTTTCCATCTCACTTTAAGTATAATTAAATTGATTTTTTTTATCTGACTTTAAATGTAATTAGGTTGATCTGATTAACTTACCAATTGGAAATGAGTTGAACTTGGTAAAAGGCAAACTAGGTGAGTGCTATCTGCTTAAGGGGTAGAATGCCTGTGGAAACTGGCTCGTACTCACATTATACATTAACACGTTAATTGCGGTGGGGGTTACCAGTGGCCGGCAGTAGTTACAGTGCCATGGGGGCCACCGATGACCGGTGATGCGACCAATAGTAAAAAAACATAATTAGAGTAAATATTGATACTGATAAATTTTTAAATAACACCATTTTTACTATAATAGTTTGAAATATAATAAATTGCAAAAACTTTAATAATAAATCTCGAAAACTATCTACAGCATGGTGACCGCCCCACGAAAAATACATTAAACACATTTATGTAACTTGTCTTCCATAGGTAATATCACTCAATATGTATCACATAGTAAAAAAAATCATATCGGCGGCATGGGCAAACCACATAAAATGCACGCAGGAGCCAACGTGTTAAAAAAAGAAAAAATTATCCTTGCAGTCAGCCGATTTGTCAATATTTGAGCCTGGGTTGAGTGACCTGGTTTTGTTTTTTCACTCAGCCATTGGTAGACAATATCCTTAATTATAGTTCTCTCTCCAGAAAGTTATTACCAAGTATTGTTGATTAACTTATTTTGCATGCTAATAAAAGTATTAATAAAGAAAAACTTTTGTTTTATTTATTATAGTTACCCCAATAAAGCAATGTTTAATTTATTACCAATATTACTGGCGTTAGGAATATTTTTTTTGCTAGTAGTATTGGCTGAGTTAGGTAATTTTGGAATCTGAATACCAATAGTTTAGAATTAGTTACAGTGGTTTGTTTTAATTTTCTTCAACACATTGATATAAAATTTTAAACCATTTTTTGTTTATTTGATAATAATCATTTCATTTTATTGATTCATTATAAACAAGAGAAGAACTTAGAAAAATTGAAAAATTGTCTGATCTCTAAATTCTAGTTGTGCAGTGAAATAAAATTAAGGTGTTGATTCATGTTATGTGTCTAGCAACAGTGCAGCTATTCCAGTCATAACCATTAACATAACCAACTAAAACAGTTCTGAGAAAATATATATCTGGATATAATAGGGCAAAAACTGTATTTCATTCAGTATTGAAATTTATAAGCCAAACATTTAACAAGAACATATAGAAAGAAATTACTGATATAGTATGTTCGATTTTTTAGACATCTTATTTTGATTTTTTGATGCTATTCGAATGGACTTTTGAGTGTTAGTTCTGCTATAGTTACAGAATAGGTTAATTGAAAATAGGAGAGAATTACTAATAGCAGCAACATAGTGTTTCCTGGGCAAGTTTAGTCTATGTAGTTGATTACCACAAATGTAAATCAACTTAAATATATTAATTCCAACAATGAATTTTAATGTTAGATAACAATGTTTATAATATTTTAAAATTGTTTCCACAGCCTTGAACATAGTTTCATTAATACTCTTTATTCAGCTGGATTGTTTGTAATAAAATCTTTTGGTAGTCTCTTTTAGGAATAATTAAGAACCATGTACTGAGGAAACTTGATTATGATAGGGTAATGAGATAAATATTTTAATTCATTCTAAAAAATTTTGCTGCTTATTATGTTTGTAACATGTTGTGTAAGAACATAAACCGAGATGCATGACTGAGAAGATGGCTATGAAAAGATAATGGACGTGAGACAAGTGGTGTAACATAAAGAATGCATCACTTTTGATTATCAAAAATAGTGCTAATAAAGTTCTGTTATGTTTAAGATGTATTAATGCAGTGTTTCTTGATGTGCTTCAAAATTCTTTTTTAAATCAATTTCTACCATTCATATGTAATTTGGTACCCCTTCCTGTTTTTCTGAGAGAATTATGGTGTACTGATATCAGCGTCTATCTATCCACGGTTTTAATCAGGTCAGAGCATAATTTTGTAGGCACAATATCTAATTCTTCGCTGATATAAATGTTTATATTTAATTCTTATTTGACATTATGGTGACCTTGTTCATCAAATGTATTAAATCTGAAAATGTGGTACTTTTTAGATGTGGGAATGTCATGAAACATTTGAACCTGAAACAAAGGAAGAGGAGGTATCAGAGCGAGTAGTTAATTATAAGAAAGTCATGGTCACAGATGTTCGGCTTGATTTAACGTTTTATGCCCAGCATGTTGATGAGGGTGAGTTTCTTAAGTTAGAGAATCTTTATTTTATTCAAAATTACAATCTTATATAGTTAATTATTGTATTTTTTGTGTATTTGAGATTATCTTTAAAGTCTAGAAGCTGAGTTCAGATAATTTACATGAAGCCATGAATATTTCACCTGCTATATATTTGCTGTAAAAGGTAGTTTCGTTTTCCACATATTTGAAGTACATGTTTTTGACTAATCTATTTACCAGAATTTAAAGGTCAAACAGATGTTGCAAGAGCAAAGAGTGATCTTCTGTGTTCAGCAGTGGGTCTCAACCTTTTTTGCTTGCAGCTGTCTGTATTTGGCATACTTTGATTTTGCACATTCATCATGAGTTTTTGAGTTAAATAGAAAAACATTTCCTACCTTTACTTTGCAACGTCCACAGATATGTGTATAGTGAGTAATATTATAAGGCAAACTAAAATTTAATAACAAGTATTGTTGGATCTATTAGTCGCCAATGAGAAGGTTTTCTGTAGTTGCTCCTGAAATGTATCGAAAAAGCGAGAAATTTAGCTGAATAATAGGTACTCAAAAGTAATATAAATAAGAGAATTTGCAATGAGAATCTGCATTGTTTATAAACCTGGTGTATAAAGGTATGGAACATTTTTTTATTTAATATATATATATATATATATAGGAACCTAATTTTTTTTTTTTTTGTATAATGCCCTCGTTCAAGTGAGCTCAGAGAACAAGCCTCCGTAAAATTTAAACTGCTTTCATCCACATAGGGATTTTTCATTTTAAACACTTGCAATCTACCTGAAAGGTTATGCTGATTCTTTCCCAGCTGTTGAACTCCATGTCAGCCTAATATAAGAACTAGCAAAGCAAATATGAACTGGCATTTAGTCTATGATTTTGCTGAGTCAGTTGCACATTCCCTAATTATTTATGCGTGATTTAAGGCCTGATGATTAACAGACAACTGCAAGATCAGGCAAGATTCAGTTGCAGAAAAAGATATCTTATTAGATATTGTAATGGTAATATTACAATGTATTCTTATTGGAATGCAAGTTTTTTTTAAAGAAATAATATTGATATTTACCTATTGTTTATCCACGACTGCTTTCTATCTACCCAATTTCATTTGTTTTGTTCTTACTGCATTCCTTTGGAAATTAAAGTATTCATGTAATTTTCTCCTGTCAGTTTTCTTTCGATAAAATTAGTAAGGAAAAAAAAAGGGGGGATATGTGAGAAACTATGGTAAATAAAAATAAACTAAATTTTTTTTTTAAATGCATCTTGAATACTTCAGATTAGTCCAAAAAATGTTTGTCACTAAATTTTCAAAAAATTAAAAACTATTATTATTTTTATGTTCAGCCAACTATCCATTGGCTGAACATAAAAATACAGAGTGGTGTAGGGAAATGGGAAATTTTGAATGTTATAGTTTGTAATGGTGGTACTGGTGTTTGTTCAGAACTGATGTGTAGTTGATGTGAACATGTTGCCATTAAATCATGCAGCATTGGAGTAGGGTGGAACATGCTATTGGCAGTGAGAGTGTTTTACAAGCAGGGTGATAGTATGGATGCCACACAAGGGTGTTTCAACAGCATTACTAGCTAGGACATCCTGAACATGTCCCTTCTGCTCGTCTAGGTAGTGTAGATGCATAGTTTAGAAGAAACTGGTTCAGCCTTGAAAATAAAAATCCTCCAGATGGCATTCAGATGGTGTGTACCCCAGAGAACATTGCAGCTCTTCAAGTTTCCATCGAGAGAAGCCCTGGCTGCTCTGTTTGACAACGTGCATCTGCGTTAGAGATTGAGTGACAAAGCATACAAAGAATACTGCACGAATTTAAGTTCCAACCCTCTAAATTACAGATTGTACAGAAATTACATATACAAGATCCTGTATTGTGTAGGTAGTTAAGTGAGTGTGTGTTTGCTAAAATCAGCGAAGACGTCAATTTCCTTAGCAACATATGGTTGTCAGATAAGTCCACTTGCCCCTTAACAAATACATTAACAAACAGAATTTTCATTACTGGGCACTGGAAAATCCTTTTGAGGTTCATGAGTGTGCATTACGTAGTGCCAAGGTTACAATGTGGTGTGCTATATCATGTCATGGCATCATTGGCCCTTACTTTTTTAACTTGAGAATGGCATTGCAACAATAGTAACATCTGCTGTATATGTTGATACAGTGCTCCATACAGCAAAAGTTGTGTTAATGTATTTAAAAAAAAACTTTTGAATGGTTCTGTCACTGTTCAGAAAATTTAGCATAAATTTTTAAAAGGCTATTTTATACCTACATTTCAGTATGCATGTAAAGACATTAGGTTATTTGGAAGCAGGAAAGATGAAAAATGAGCAAACACCTTTGCCAGGAATCGAACCATGGACCTCTGAAATACGCGCCCTGCATGCAGACTACCACATCATGAAGGCATGCCAAGAAGGCGGGAGAAATACCTTATATGCACAGCACTGATATCCATTGGCTGAATAATGAATATACAGTTTGGAGGAAGGAATAAAGTGAAGACTAAAAGTTTTATTAAAACTCGCGAAGCCAAATGAAATTTTCTATAAACGAAATAATTTTTGCGTCATCTGGTAAACAGCCGATTTCAAATTTTGCCAAGTCTTGAATATGAAAAAAATTTTAAACCAGTCATTCATTAATATTTATGTCATATATGCTGTTATAGTGGAACGATAGATGATGGGGAAAATATTTACTCATTTAAATGCCTGGTATTGTGTTTCCTTCGATTATGGAAACTGAACTTTGTGTGTTCCTACAGCATTTGTACATGCGTAGGATTAGTCTTATTTTGGAATCTTTGACACTAGTTAGGGCCTTTTCTACCGTAACTAGAGGTTGCCAAGATGCAGGGCAAATATTGCTTTAAAAGACTAGGTTCATCGGTGTAATGGATTAACTGTTCTGTAGATAACTTCTGGCTGTTACTGAATTCGTTCACAAACTGAAATTTTTAACTGCCTTACCATGGTGATTTTCAAATTTATGTACCATCCCATTGAATATGTGTCCTCAGTTTTTAAGTGCCTACGTCATGAAATATTTTAGCTTGAACCATTAGCATTGGACCTGTCAATAGTTCTGTTGATGCAATGCTGTCAACCAATCGTCCCTTTGTCATGATCATCACTTTTAGTATAATAAATTAGTTTTCTGTTATTCATTGTGGGTGTAATGTCAGAATTTACAAAAAGCTCCTTTTTCCCTTCTCCCCTTTTTTAATATAAATATAAATGATGTAAGCCAGAGCTTCCCAAACTTTTCTGCTCCTTGACAAGGGGGAGAAAAATTCCAATGCTTCCCTCTCTACGATAATAATAAATTTTATCAAAGATTAAAATATTGTTGCGTATTATGTATACCTATTTTATCTGTCAGTCTGTTAAGAATTACAAAGTAGACATGATATAAAATGACCATCAAATGTTGTAAAAAATAGTTTATTAAAAATTTAAAGATAAAAATTAATGAGATGGTTAAGTCTGGGAGTTTTAATGGTTTGTTAATATCAGGTTGAAATTTCATTAACGTCAGTCATGGTGTTCAGTCTGTTCCTTTTCTTAGTAAATTGGCTACTGCGCTGAACCCATGCTTAGCCAAATACGATGAAGGGAAAGGAGTTAAAAATATTTGCACTCTTGCCCACAATCTGGGGTAGAGAGGTGGTACTGATTTTTGAAGCTCGAAATCGTGTATCTGTTTCCGAATCTTACTTTTAGTTCTTCATTAGACATGAGTTCTAAGATGTTCAGCTTTTAAATTTGATGATTCTGCTGCATCAACATATACGAAAGGATCTAAAATGCAACTCTATATTCATAGTTAAAATATCTTTCAATCGTTCCATAAAATCAACATGAAGAACCTGTAAGTATTGGCAGTAAATAAATATATCTTCCTGTTTTGCCGAGACTGCACATTTCATTTGAACAGTGGTTTTCTCGCAAAAGCAGCTATGGCTTTTTTGTTTTAATTAAATTCAACTCATTGCCTTGCAATTGTAAATTGATTTAAATATTTTAACCAGATCTGCTGACGTGCTATGAAATCATTGTGGTATCCCGTGATTGCTGGAGCGCTATCAATAGGAACTGAGTAGACATTACGAATAGGAATATTATTTCCCTCATGAAACAACTTATTCATGGCATGAAATATTGATTCTGCCTTTGTATAGCTTTCCAAATCTCTTACAAATAATTATTCTAGATGCATTTTTTTTCTCTTTTTTGAATTGGATATATAGTAAGAATAGTGGTTTTTTATTTGATAGATTTATCGAGCTGAATGGAAAGTTTTTGAGAAATTTCATGATGATATTTCAATCTCTTTAGCAATTTCATCTGTTCTCTGCATCGAGTAATTACTTAGAGGAATTTTTCTATTATATCTGACGGTGTCTTATGATGAGGAACAGTTTTTATTACCTCCTTGATTGCGAGCAGATTAATTCCTATCCCAGTGTGTGAATTTTCTGCTTTTGTGATTAATAATAAAATATTTTATGAGCTCTCCATCTTTTTTAGAGTGTGATGCAAAAAAGGTTCTGTATAGTTACTTGTTTTTCCAGTTCTTTAAAATAGGATAAATCTTTGTTCTTTTTATCAGCCTGTTTTTTTTATTCAAATGCTGTTATAGCATAGAAGGCTTCGTGGCTTCATTTGAAAAAAAATTTCGGCAAATTAAATACTTAGGCACTGGTTTTTGGGACAGTGTGTAAATCCATATTTCAAATACACAGTACTGTACTGCTGGCATTTCTTAGATTTAACCACTTTGAAAAAGATTTGGCATAGTTTAAATAAATTAACTTTTCAATTGATTCATAGGTAATTATAAAAACGACGGCTGTAATGACTTCATTACGTTCACTTATGAATATGGGTTATTGGCGAAACACATAAAAATAATAAGACATTCCTTTAACTATCTGACCTTTTTATAGGTTTGATTTTGTGCGCGCTTCAAGAGGCATACCTTTGCTTGTCTGCGATGCCAGTGCACTTGCTCTGTAAGTAAGTCATTACAGGCTCCCATATTTTTCCAAAATGTATTTGATTGTGGGAATCGCGATTTTGCTTTCGAACTTGCAAATACAATCTGCTGACAGTATTAAACCAAATTACATAGATGTATGCCTAATGCTAATTAAATTTTTTTAGATAACAATAAAATACAAATTTTAGATGGCTAGATAAAATGTGTATTCAGAAAAACAATAGGTCTTTTCAAAATATTACATCTAAGGTATATGTTCGAAAACAGTGAACTCTAGGGCATCACAAAGATTTTCAACGGAATTAATGTCAATATTTTGGCCAGTTGTTCACCATGTTGTCTTGGGCATTAACATAAATAAGGAGAAAATCGAGACCTTTTGCTGCAACATAGAGTTGTACAAATACCTGTAGGACTTAATCCTGATATTGTGCATTTGTCACCGAATTGCCTTTAAAGATGTATAGTCAGGTGTGATATTCCTCAGAAATTCTGCCCCACACCATGATGCTGCCACATCTGAATCCATGATGTTCAGATATGTTCTTTCTGCATGCTTCATTCGTTCCAGACCCTCACGAGTTTATCATGTGGTTTCAGGACATCTGGACTAACAGGACGGTGAGCCAAATCTGACACAGTCCAATTGAGATAGTGAAGGCACCATTTTAATCTTGTCCCTCTGGCATGGGCAGTTAGTAGAACACAAGCACTTCATACACACATGTGTAGCCCCTTCAGTTGAAGCTATTGGCACACAGTAATGGCAGATATTTTCTTACCAAATAATGCTGCAACCATAATCTAACATGTGTGGAGCTTTCTCGTACATTCTGGTTGAGTAGCTGATCTTCAGAAGGGGTGACAACAAATTTATAGAAAACTTTTTCACTTGTTTTAACTTTTTCAGACATCCAAGAAATCAAATGATCAGTGGGTAAAAAAAGAGCTACATTTTTAATTGACTGTCTTGCTTCAGTATGTCTGAGAGCATGCCAATGCTCACAATCTGCCATGTGTCTTTTTTTTTTTTTTTTTTTGTAGCCGTAGAAACATGAACTTTATGAAAAATTGTGCTACGTTAAATAGAAATACTTTATATCAGTATTTCAGTGATCTTTCTCGAAATGCATGAATTCTGAATTCATCTGGAACAATAACCTAATTAGTGTATGTTTGGACTGGCAATTGTTATTGACCGCAACATACAATATTTGCAGCATCCATAGCAATTTTTTGCCTTTTCAGGCACGCACTTTTGAAAATTGTTAATGTGCACTTTGTGCTTAACTTTTGGAAACCAGTGTAAATAGCCTGCAAAGAAATAATAATCAAGTGCATCAGCATGCCAAATAACGATTGTTGGAGAAGTCAAACAACAAGAATCAGTGTTATATCTAAAAACTGGTAGAAGTGACATCCCACTCCAAACATATAGTGCTGGGGATTCATTTATTGTTTAGATTCAGATAGAAAAATATTTATAGCTTAGGGAGGCTTCGCTCTTCTAGGGCTGAAAGTGTGGTTATGGCTAACGGGGCTAAGTGTGGTTGTGGCCATTTCACGAAAGCTAAATAATTTTTAGGCAGGGGAATGATTTGCTAAAATTATTGTTTGACATGCAATAGTAGTAATGAATATCTTTCTAAGATATACTTCCTGAAGTGTTTCGATTGTATTTAATTTTGAACAGTTTAGCTTCAAATGCTATAGATACTGCTGGTATCATTAGGATTAAAAAAAAATTTTTTTTTTTTTTTTTTGGTTTGAATGGTTTTCAGCTTTTCAGCCAGTTAATTTTTTTTTTTTTTTAAAATGAACTCAAATTCTGTTTCATTGTATATTCACTTCACATAACCCTAGAAGATTCCTGGGATAAGGTAATTTTGTTTGATGTAATAAAATTTGAAGTTAAATTTTTTTATGTAGTAATTTTCATGTCATCTTCATGTAAAAATTTATATTTTTCTGTACAGGCCCAAAACTAGAAGAAATGATGTTAAACCTTCGTCAGGAATTTACTAGTAATCCACCATTACCTGGATCCTATACTCCGAAGAAAGGTGATATGTGTGCCGCTTTATTTTCTGATGGCTTGTGGTACAGAGCAAAAGTAGATAAAATTAATGGTGGTCAAATATCTGTTACTTTTATTGATTATGGCAATGTAAGTGTTTAGCTATTTCTGTGATTTAAGCAAAATAAAATTTGTAAAAGTAATTAATAAGAATTTAATTAATGAGAAAGATATGCACTTTTTATATTTTCAAAGCTTAGTAATAAGGCATTTTTTGCTAATGTTGAATACAGTATTACAAATTATCTATACAAATTGCATTATTTTCTTAATATTGCTTTTTGCCCAAATGATACAGTTCTTTTTATTTTTAGAAAGATATTGTAACAGTCTCAGAACTAGCAAGCTTACCATCTACATATCATTCCGTTCCACCTGGTGGTCACGAATATGGCCTAGCTTTTGTGAAACCTTCCCAAGATGTAAGTTAGATTGTTACTTTAATGTCATTAGATTTTTTGGTAACATGGTCAATTAAAAACAAAATGCTAATTTATTGTCAAGCATGAATTTTAAAAAATGCATTGTTAAAGAATACTTACTTAACACTTTAGCTGCTGATCATGCATAACTGCATGATGAGGTGTTATAGTGCCAATGCATGGGGAAGAAAACTTTTTTTTTTTTTCATGTTAGTCAGCTCGTAGTCAATTTTCACAAAATCTGGCAGCTAATGTAACCTAAACCACGTGAGAATATAAGACACATACGGATTGCTTTAGTGATAACCATTACTTAAAATATTTATGTTAGTAATGTCAGGCTTTTCATGTTTATCTTAGGTAGCGGGAACAGAAATGCCGAGCAAAATCAGTGGAAGTTAAAAGTATTAATTATTTCCATGAAAGTCTGTATGAAAATTTGAAATTTAAATGTAACTTGGTTAAATTTACTAATTGTGTTGTCTGTCTGTTTTAAAGTCAGCATAAAATTGCAGTTTTTAAATATTCCTTCTTTTATTTTATCATTTAAAAAGTGTTGGACTTTGATGTCAATTCTTTGATGTCAAAGTTTAACCTAATTACTTGAATTAGAGGTATGAAGAGATACTCCATCTCGCTAACTACAGTTCTTATAATAATTGAAGGTGAAATTGAAGCACTAACTTTTTGATCATAAAAATCTCATTCGCTGTGAAGTTAACCCTTTTACAGGCAGTGGTAAATATCTTACCACTAAGCAATTTGTTTTCTAGCAGCATACGGAAAATTATTTACCAGCGCCCGATATCAGGAATATTCCTCTGAAACCAGAGCTTCACATTTTCTGTAATAGATGGCTGCAGAGGCTACGTAAAACGCAACATTTCTGCATTCATCCAGTTTTCAAGCAAAATGGAGAGGGTAAGCACATACTCTTTTCTTATTTTATTGTGTAATGCTGTATAAAAATAGGTTAAAAGCTATATAATCATATATTTTGTATCTTAAAGGTTTGATAGCTAAGTTGTATTAGGCATTAAAAAAATATAGCGAAATATTTTGTTTTATACATATTTGAATTTGGTGGTAAATTATTTACCATGGCACGCTTAGTGATTTTAGAGGTGGTAAATAATTTACCACTGCCTGATAGAAACACAGTTTTACTAATATGTTTCGCTTTAGAAATAGCATTTTGTTTGGCATGGTACTTGATTTCTTTGTATATCTAATACTTTTATACTAGCATTTCAGTAATTAATTATTTCTAATATTAATTATTATAAATATTATGGAAAATATTTTAGTATTTATTTAGGATTACATAAATATTTATGTATTTAGACATTAGAATTAAAATATTACTTTAGAATGCATATTTTGATCAGTATGTTCAAGTGATTTCAAAATGTAAGTAACTAATTAAATGTAATGAATATCATTTTAGGTAAACGCATTAAAGAAAAAGGAAAGAAAAAAAAAATCACCGATGAAGCTATAAAGCTTTATTTTGCACTGCCTTCAGATCCTGAAGATTCTGAAAAAGGACTGCCTCACACAAGAAGAACTGCAGGCTTTTTGGGGAATCTTAATTATGAAGGGGATCAATAAATTACCTTAGATTTGTACTTGTCTTCTGACTCTTTTTTTTCAATAATCAAGAAGTCTCGTCAATTATGCCAGCAAAGAGATTAAAAAATATCCTTTCAAATTTGCATATCAGTGGCAATCAAAAGGCTGTGCCTTGAAATGAGCCAGAACTTGACAAATTACTGTAAATGCGTTCTTTGATCACCCATTTAGATAAAAATTCAAGAAAAATATTCAGACTATCGATGAAAAAAATGGTAAAATTCAAAGGAAGGTCCACAATGAAGCAATATATGCCAGGGAAGCCTGTAAAAAGAGTTTATAAGATTTGGGCTAGATCAAACGCATCAATTGGTTACCTATATCAGTCTGAAGTTTACACTGGGAAAAAGACTTGAATTTAGGTTGAGAGTAGCTCGCAGCCTAATTGGAGCCTTCTCTAGTAAAAAACAAAAACTGCAATCAAACTGGGTATCAGCAAAAAAAGAAAATGCTATTCCAAGGGCAAATTCGAACAACTAATGCTAGAACACACATGCCAGTCAGAGGAGAAAGTTACAGAAGGTGCAAATATTACAGCACAAAAGTAAATCAGAAACGTACTAAGGTGTTATGTTCAACATGTCATGTACCATTCTGTGTGCTGCTTCCATGTTATAAATAAAAATTAAAAATTAAAATCAGTAGAAGTAGTGCATTTGGTTATATTTATATCTGTAATCAATTTGAATTTTATATTAATCATCAATTTTATATTATATGTATATTTAAATAATCAAGAATAAATAGTTTTCATCAAAAATACATGTTTATTTGTGATATTTTTATAATTATGATTTTTTTCTTTTGCACAACTCAGTAAAATGCCATGCTTATACCGGGCGGTGGTAAATATGTTACCACCCCTATTATAAACAACAACAACAGAATTCCAAAAATAGTATTTTTGGTCATAAACAAGCTACTTTTCCCTAATAGTTGCATAAAAGATGAATTTTGAAAACAAATGGCCTGGGCCCGATAAAGGGTTAATCAGCCAGAAATAGTAACAGTGAAAAGTAAGAAGGGTATAATAATATGCATTTAGTCATATAAATACAAAACTATATTATATGAAATTAAAATTTTGATTGATAAAAATAGTTGGAAGTTTAATACTAAAAAGCGTGTTCTCAGAATGGTTGTAACTGTTTTAAAAATGTCTAGCTGATATAAATATTCATCAAAATATTAATGAATAGGTAAAGTGTTAAACAAGAATGTCTTTGTCACATTTTTATTTCCTTCTTTATGCTGAAACTAATTATAAAATTAAAATATTTCTTTGTAAGTGTAAATTTTGATTCGATGCTCTTAATTAGTCCAGTATGTTCATGATTAAGTAGATGAGACCATTGAACATTGGTATTTTAAATTCTTATGAATTATCTATGAGTGCTGTTGTGGGTCACACCATATGCAATGTGAATGTGATGTAGTTTCCTTTTGAAAGCCGGCTCTCGTCAGTGACAGAGTGGTTAAGGCCACTGAACGCTTTTAGTTCAAACATACGCAGACTCCTGTATACCTGGGTATTTTGTTTGGATTTCTGTAGAAGTAAATACTCTTCAAAGGTATCCGTTTTGTTTGGCTGCCGCATTAAGCTAATCTTTTAAGTTTTTCACAGAGGTACTTCTTTCCTTAGGCAAATAGTTCTGCTAACAAAGTAATCTAAATAACAATCCAATAAACACTGAACATCAAACTTTGAATAAATATTAAAATTATTAACCCAATAAACATTGAAAATAATCATGTAAATATCGTGAAACTTTGTCAAGGAAGTATTTGGATATATTCTCAGCATCTTTTGTTTTGGGGCTATTGAGAGTTGTTGCATAGTAGAAAACGTGATGGCCAACCAAAAGTGCATCCTGTATGTAAGTGAAAAAGAAGGTTTTTAATTTGCTTTTTCCTTGAACTTTACAGAATAGATGAACAAGGTGTATGTCAACTATTGACATGATAAAAGCATAATGAAAAACTTGACAATGATGACTGCTACGTCATATTGTATCTGTGCAGTTGACTATGAATCAGTGCATTTCTTCATAGTAGATACTGTCCGGGACTTGAATATCTCATTCTAAAGGACTTCCCATTCTTGTCTTCAACAGCTACATTCTATGTCAGGATTCTGTGCATCACATCACTCCGCCATGCTGGAGGCAACCATTGCTGTTGTGATAGGCCACAAGGACTGTTACCAGGATTACATATAGTCTTGGCTTTTAGTGCGGGATTATATAGCATTGCTCTGTGTTTGCGCAATGCTCTGCAAATTTTCCGCCCAAAATTATATTTGAATGAGTTTTTTTTAGAGTCATTACATCTCATATTGTTAATTCTCCGAGTTGTGTGAAGTCTTGGGGGCATGTTTTTGTGGACTGTGGCAAATTTAAGCCGAGAGGAGAGGTCTAAAAATGTTAGTAAATAATACTTTCTGGTAGACTAGAAGAGAAACACGCTAATGTGACAATCAAAATCGTAAAAACAACCTCGTATTTAGCGTAAGTATATTGAAACACTCAATCAATTTCGAGGGCAGCTAAAGGTCCCTCCTCATCAGGAGAAATAAATACCTAGAAAGAAGAAAAATAAAGGGGAAGGAGTCTCAGAAACACGTGGTCCTTATCAGCACTGCACGTGGTTATAACCGGATTTTTAATCAGAGTTACACTGGCCGCCTACTTTTACTGAGCCAGGCTATCTGATCAAACATGTAACACAAAGGACAAGAAAAATTAGCAAAGTTAAAAATAGGGAGCGAGGGGCAACTGCACCTTCACGCTCAAAATCTGAACTTCAAATAATGGAAAGCAACCACTGAAGGGATTTTTATACCTTCTGGTAGTACCAAACGCGAGGAGGTATCGCCATCTATCGGCAAAAATAACTGAATTAAGATAGTAGAATTTAAAAAGCATTAGGAAGGACTGGATTGGACTTCAAATCATTAACTAAACCTGCTAAATCTTTGTGAATATGAAAAGCCTCAAGAAAATCCAATTCATCTATGGAAGAAGCCTTTTGGATAATTTTTGCAGACACAAAGTCAAAATTATGGTTAAATGTCCAACTATGATACGCTGTTGAAGACTTGTTAATTTTGCCTTTTCTGACATAAGATTCATGTTCCTTGATACGAAACTTCAACGCTCTTTTTGTTTAGCCAATATATCTTAAACCACACTGACATGATATACTATAAATTCCCCAAGAATTCAAGACAGAAATGCAATCTTTTATAATCGAAGGGTGAATTTTATTAATAGGGGAGAAACCGACTTGAAAATTGAATTTCTGGAGAATCTGTGCAATTTTATAGCTAACAGAAGGATAAAATGGAAGCAGGACAAGGTCATTAATAT